CTCCATGTCAACAAAATGAAATGTATTGTCAGGGAGCCATGCAAACACAGACATTTCCCAAAGATTGAACATGAGTACTCCAGAAACTGAGTGACACTGATAGGACAGATACTTGATCATTCAGGAACCTTCCATGTTTAAGCATCAAAAGCAAACAAAGAGGGGGTCTGGGTGGCTCAGATGGTTGAGCGTCTGCTTTCGGCTCAGGTTGTGATCTCCAGGTCCTGGATCAAGCTCCATGTCCCGTTCCCGGCTCAGTGGGGAGTCTGCTTCTCCCTCACCTTTTGCCTCTCCCTCTGCTTGTGCTCTCTCTGTCTCTGTCTCTCTCTCTCAAATGAATAAATACAATCTTAAAAAAAAAGGCAAGCAAAGGAGCGTAAGCCATGATTCATAGCACCAAATTGAGTGAATTGCTTCCGAAAGAGTGATTTCATTTTCTCAAATATTTCTGCACTTCTTCGGAATTTCTGATCCCATGAAGTTCAGGCCTGGTCACAATGGAAAATAAGTCCAGCTTCTCTTTGAGATCTAATAGATTCTCTCAGGATGCTCATGAATTTCCAGAAGTCTTAGGTTTGAGTTTGGTAAATATCTTCAGCAACTTTCTGCCACTCAGTCGTCTAACCAGTTAAGATAATCTTAACTTTCACACCCAACTTCCGCTCCTTCCAAGTAACCCATAAATTGTCAAAGGTATTAGAACAAAGAAATACTGCGTTGTCTACTTTGTCATGGGTCCATTGAGCAAGCAATGGGTGATTGGGAAAAAGCCTGACTGACATCCATAGGACCGGTCATCTTGACCACCTGATTATTGACAGCCTCTCTACAGTGAGCTTTTATGTAGGACACAAATATTTTTTACATTCTGTGCTGTGTTGAAAAGTTCATCCACATACATCTGCAAGCCTCTCCTCGTTTTTAAACTTTTAAAAATTTTTATTTAAAAGATGAAAGAACAACATATGGGAATATACTCTCCCCTTTAAGACTTTATTTATTTATTTGACAGAGACACAGCGAGAGAGGGAACCCAAGCAGCGAAGGAGGGAACACAAGCAGCGAGAGAGGGAACACAAGCAGGGGGAGGGAGAGGGAGAAGCAGGCCCCCCGCGGAGCAGGGAGCCTGATGCAGGGCTCGATCCCAGGACCCTGGGATCATGACCTGAGCCGAAGGCAGACGCTTAACGACTGAGCCACCTAGGCACCCCTACTCTCCCCTTTAAAAAACAATTTGAATCTTGTTCTTTCCAGCTCTTTTACCAGTGAGCCATCTATTAGCCATTGGCCACAAGTCAGCATAGGTATATACCTGGGGCATGCATTTCTCCTGACACCACATATACCGCTCAGAATTGTGCCCAGTGGGAAGAGTTCCCTTCACCACTCTTTCAGGACCATCCTTGAATAGGGCTGCATTGTCTCATTTCTGGTTGGGGCTAGCATGCCATGCATGTCCATTCATAAGCGGGCAGGTCTTTTCCCTCCTCTGCTGACTGGTCGTAGGGTGCTCCCCGCGAGTGTGTGGTGAGAGAGCTCACGAGGAAGATGCTGCCAGTACCAGGTATTCCTGCAGTTTCCTTGTGCATTCCAGACCTGCTCAGGCCCAGTCTTGCTTTTAACATACCAAGTGGAATGCTTTTGTACAGTCCAGTTTTATGATTCAGTAGGTCCGATAATATTGTTCATGACTGGGCTGTTCTTATTATATAGTCTCTTGGTTTCCCATGGGCAGGTATATAATCTTTACGTGAGCTTGGTAGCAAGCCAGGAACCAAATGGATAAAACTTACTGACAGTACCCTAAGGAGTCTGTAACTCTTATTCTTGATGCTTGTCAGAGGCTCCTTCCCCCATCCCTGTCTGCCATGTCATTTGTAGTACTGGTGGGTATGCTAAGGCATAGCCCCAAGAGTTAGGGCAGCTTTTATTGCTGAAGAACCTTCTCTTGAATCAGGCCCCCGTAAAAACTGGCAGCCTCATAGGTTACCCAGTATATAAGTCAGAGCAGCACATCCTAATATGAAGCTCACCAGTTGTGTTACGTCTTTCTTAGTGGACATAGTGCCAGGAGTAGCAATTTTACTTTAGATGGGAGAGTTCCTGCCTCAGACCTCTGGAACCATAGAAACCATCAGTGTGATAGATCCCTGAACTTCCGTGGGTTTTATCCTCTATCCTCTGGCTTGTACATGTGTCTTACAGAGGCCTCCTGAGTGCTTGCTACTTCTTGTTCACCAGATCCAGTTAACATAATGTCATCAGCGTGATGGACCAGTGTGGTGATCTGTAGGATATTGAGATAATCGAGTCCTTCCAGACTATATTACGGCAGTGCAGAAATAGCCTTTAGGTAAAACACTGAAGGTGCACTGCTATTTCTGGCACTTGGTGGGAAATTGCATTGTATTGTTCTTACTGATGATAGAAAAGAAAGCATTTGCCAGGTCAGTAGTTATCTACCAGATATCAGAGGTTATGCTCATTTTCTCCAGCAAGAAGTATCACATTTAGAAGTATAGCCATGATTGGCCTGACCATCTGTTGTTATGTTCCAAGATCTTTCTGGCTTTGGTCCAAGTAAACAGGCAAGTTAAAAAAGGAGATATAATAGGAATCAATGCCTCTGTATCCTTCAGTGTTTTTGATAGTAGTACTGACTTCTGAGCTTCTCCCATGGATGTGGTACAGCTTCTGGTTTACTTTCATAGGCGGAGAGGGGAAGAGTTCCAAGCGTTTCTTCATGGCCCTTTCTTCCATATGGCCATAGGACAGGGAACCAGTGTGGGGGCTTGGCCACTTACTAAGTATATCCATTTTCACAAAAATTTTAGGACTAGGGAAATAACCAAAGGATGGGCCTATGGTCCCATGGTACCTACCATGAGATACCAGGGTTGACTTCATCACTCATTTCTTTTCTGGAATGAGATAGGTGCTCTGACTGGTGGGCCATGTTTTGGGTCTTTGGGGATAAGTGTCAGTTTAGACGTAGTAGCTAGTAACCCTTGGAAGGACTGTACATTTCTCTTTACCCAGTGAGCAGTCACCCTTTTGAATGGCTGCAGGTCTTTCTCAGGGAAGGTCTGGAGAAAGATTGTTAGGATACACTTGTGGCCATGTATAGGATCACAGTAATCTCATATTTAGTCCACCTTGGCCTAATATCTTTTGAATGTACTCCCATATATGCTCCTCAGACTCCTGCTGGTAAAAATTTCTGAGATTCTGCAGATTTTTCAGTATAAAGGCAGTCTTTTCCCAGAGTTGGCTTTGAACTTCTTCCTGGGTTCTTGTGGGAGCTAACTCTCATTGGGGTGCAATGAGGGGTGATAGGAATAGGTAGTGAGGAGACTTGGCATCCTCCTAAGTGCTGGGCTCTATACTTACTGCCCACTATACATGTCCCCTGAGTACCTTGTATGAAACAACTTATCCTACTTCCCAGCTCTTCCCCCCCCTTGTCTATTCCTGATGCCACTTAATATCAAACCTTATTGTCCCTTCCAAAGGGAAGACCTGAGACATGATGTTCTCCTCTAGTTCTGCTCCTGTGGACCGTGCACAGTAAGGCACAAACAAGCTCTACATAATACAGTACCAGCAGGGCCCACCACCCTCTGGGTCCCACATTCTCAACGGATAGGTGTGGAAAGTGTAGCACTGTAACTTTCACCCTCTTGTCACTTCTGCTACGGTTGGAGAATGGGCTGATGTGGGTCTGCAACTCCTGGGCAGGGTTAATCTGCCTTAGAAGAGCTAAGGGTCCACCTGCTCTGATTCTGTGGCAATAGAGCGATGGAACTGTGGGGCAAGAGTTTGATCAGGTGGCTGTCCTGGTCTAATGGGCGAGCTGAAGAATCGAGCTGCTTTAATGGGGCACTCTGAGCTTAGGATGGGGCCGGTGACTTGTCTATGTTTTCTGACAACTAATTCAACTACATATAAATCCTTCTAAACTGCATTTCCAGCATCAAATCCAGCAAAGTGGGTTTTGAATCATCTCAAAGGAAGCACCCTTATAATCAGTTAAAATTCACCATACTCAATGCCTATTGATAGATTTTCAAAATCATTACTTCAGTATAATTTATTTACAATTTTTAGATCTGTCAGAGTGACTTCTTAAAATCAGTCACCAGGGAAACTGGCAAACTATTTAAAGGGTATTATTTGGTATCAGTGGAGAGTATGAGCTGCCGTGTAGCAAAAGTGACATCAGTTTGACATCTCGAGTCCTTTGTCCTTGGGTGGAATGATAATATTAACATAATTGTATTTATTCTATATGAAGTTTGTAATATCTCTGACCAGCGGCCCAGTGCATAAGAATTATCCACAGTTGTAAAAATGCAGCATAGCACAGTGGTTAAGAGTCAAGACTGGAGCTACACAGCCTGGGTTCACATCCTAGATGGGCAATTTATTTAATGTCTCCACGTCTCAGTTGCCTCACATGTAAAACAGGAGTAAATAGTTACTATATAGGATCCTAATCTGAAGCAAGCTTCACCTGCTCATCTTGATGTAAGAAGCCTGAAAAACACACTTTGGGGGTGCCTGGCCGGCTCAGTTGGAAGAGCATGTTGACTCTTAATCTCAGGGCCGTGAGTTCGAGCCCCACCTTGGGTGTAGAGATTACTTAAATAAATACACTTAAAAAAAAATAAAATAAAATGGAAAGCACACTTTGAAAAACCCTGCTTGAAATCTAACAAAATAGAGCCGTTTTAGGTGCAAGTTGCCCTCAGTCCACCTGAACTGTGGCTCCTAGAATGTCTTAGTGGTAAGGAAGGCTGGTAGGATGCACGTGTTTGACTGTGGTTTAGCTGTTGATGGGGCATAAGAGAAACTGTATCTCTAACCTGGGCTGTGACTTACGATCAAATGTAAATTCCTACCAGAATAAGCATGAAATTGGTCCTGTGAATAATGACAAATCATTGTATTTTTAAATGATTTTGCTAATCTATGTTTTTTTTTTCCCCCTGTTGATTAAGGTTGCATGATGGAATATGAATGTTACCTCAAGAGGTTTTATGTTTTGGATTAGCTAACTGTGTTTATCCTCTGCTGACTATTTCTTCGGACTCATTTTTTGGTGTCCTTTTGAGGCAATAAACTCAAAGGGATTATAACATGGACTACAAGGAAAGCTGCCCAAGTGTAAGCATTCCCAGCTCCGATGAACACAGAGAGAAAAAGAAGAGGTTTACTGTAAGTATGTAATATAAAGCATATGGAGAAAAAATGAATATAGAGAATATTTCCATTTTTTTCTTTTTTTTTTTAAGAGTTTATTTATTTGACAGAGAGAGAAGGGGAGCAGAGGGAGAAGCAGGCTTCCTGCTGAGCAGGGAGCCCGATGCAGGGCTCGATCCCAGGACCCTGGCATCATGACCTGAGCCGAGGGCAGACGCTTAACGACTAAGCCACCCAGGTGCCCCGAGAATATTTCCATTTCTTCTTTTGTTCTTCCTTAACCTAGAAACATCCTCCCCATGTTTCCACATATCCAGATCTTACTTACCCTTCAAATGATATATCCTCCACAGTCTTCCCTTTGTACTATAACTATAACAGGTGCATCCCATAACAGATGACTTTCAACTCAGAGTTCATGTCACATGGGAAAACTGAGGAGTTAAACTAAACCCTTTGGTCTGACCACTCCAGTCTCTTTTCTTTTTCTTTTTTTTAAGATTTTACTTATTTATTTGTCAGAGAGAGAACAAGCAGGGGGAGTGGCAGAGGGAGAAGCAGGCTCCCTGGGGAGCAAGGAGCCTGACGCGGGGCTCGATCCCAGGACCCCGGGATCATGACCTGAGCTGAAGGCAGATGCTTAACCGACTGAGCCACCCAGGCGTTTTTTTTGTTGTTGTTTTTTAAGATTTTATTTATTTATTTGTCAGAGAGAGATCTAGTCTCCTTTCTTAACTAGGTGGGGCTGGAGCCCCCAGTGACACTTTTCTCCCAAAGTCGCAGACAAGGAACTGGAAATAGCTTCTGTCCTCTCCTCGGTTCTCCCTTTCTTAATAAATGTACCTCCATACCCTGTACCAAAGCCCAGAGGAGAGGCTGCAGTGTGTGTCTGGCCATTTGCCTCTGCTCGGTGTCTGTTACAGCGGTATCTTATGCATTGTTCATTTATTCCGCAATCTTATAAGCAAGTCCTAGAAACATCACATTGATGGTAAATAAGAGGTCAGTATACCTCAGTAAAATAGTGGAGTGTGTGAAAGTTTTTTTTCCTTCCCTCTCCTATTTTTTTTTTTAAATCCTTGAGCATTCTCTCCTTTAAGGGCATAACCTCCTGCCAAGTTTGATGGAAGTTCATATATAGCAAATATAGGCAGTGGGTTATCTCAGTGTCCATTTACTTTTCATGGTAGAGGTATTTTCATGCCTTCTGTGACAGGTTCAGGGAAGCCTGTAGCATCACTCTTACCCACCTGTTCCCAGAGCTGTCCCTTGCATTCTTGGAGGCCTCCTCCAGATCACTTTGTTCATTTCCTTGCTTCAGATTATCAAATGTTGCCCTTGTAGAGAGGCTTTTTCTGACCACCCTATATAAAATAGCACCTTCACACCCCACCCTAACCCTTTCATTCTCTGTCCTGCTTAATTTTTTTTAGTTAACCACCTAGTTAAGAAAGGAGACTGGATCTCTCTCTTGAGATCTAAGATGATCTCAGTCTCACAACTCTGAGATCATGACCTGAGCCGAAATCAAGAGTCGGATGCTTAACCAACTGAGCCACCCAGGCGTACCATTCCCTTTTTTTCATGTAGGCTCCACACCCAGCATGGAGTCCAGTGCAGGGCTTGAACTCACAATCCTGAGATCAAGACCTGAGCTGAGATCAAAAGTCAGACGCTTACCTGACTGAGCCACCCAGGTACCTCTACCCTATTTAATTTTTTAATAGCAGTTATCACTACCTGACACATTTTGTGCTTATTTATAACTAGACTAGACTAGAATGCGAGATCCTTTGAAATAAGAACTTCCCTCACTGTTGCTTTATCAGTACCCAGAACAGAGATGGATATTTAGAAAGTATTTGTTGAATTGATGTTGAATGAAAAGTAGTACTAAGTTCACATGTTAGTTGCTGACCACTACAGGGCAGTCCTCAAGAACCTCAGTTCTAGGCAACACAGATAGACCCTACCTCACCCAACACAGACTCTGTGTCGAGCCTCAGTGGGTCCCAGATGCCTGTGTCCTACTTGGGAACAAAAACAGACATTGTGTTATTTGCTATCTGTAATATTTTTATACTCTAGTTCTCGTGTCTTTTATATAGCTCCATACTGTGAAGCTTCTAACAGAGAAATGCATTACCTTCTAGGATGTCTTAACTTAAACCAAGTCTAAATTATACTTTCATTTATCCATTCAACAAATTGTCATTGAGTTTGTGTGTCATGCTAGGTGCTGTTCTAGGCACTGGGGATATGGTAGGTAGCAAGCATGATACGGCCCTTGCTCTCAAGCATCTTAAATTCTGGTGGGACAAGACAGGCAATAAGGAAATATTTTTTTAAAAAAAAACAAACAGTTTTATATTATAATAAGTATTGTACTGCTTTCTGTGAATTCTTGTGCTTCTTTTGCAAATGAAAGTGTTTTTTAAAATTTGAAGAGTTTGTGGTTACTTGTTGGTGTTTTATTAGAACTTAATAGGCCCTTGTTCAGGGTGCCTGGGTGGCTCAGTCGGTTAAGCATCTGCCTTTGGCTCAGGTCACGATCCTGGGGTCTTGGGATAGAGCCCTGAGTCAGGCTTTCTCTGCTTTGTCTCTCTTTCACATAAATAAATAAAATAAAATCTTGAAAAAAAAATAGGTCCTTGTTCGTAAGTCATACTGCTGATTGGTAACTTCATGGGGCTTTATCTGAAGCAGAGCTGCTTCAGCCTGGAACCTATTTGTGGCTTCTAGTCTTGGCTGTCCTTTGGTAACCATGGGAAGCTACCTTACCACACTAGGAAGCCAGCATAACTAATTCAAGTGGCTTGCAGTCATCTAAACCTAAGTTTCTGATTCTTTGGTAGCAGTTCTGCTTCCAGTCCTATCTGATCTTGAATGCTCTGAGTTAAATCTGTAATCTAGTCTTAGAAACAGTGTAGCTTTGCTGGCCCCTTGACCAGGTTCTTTATCCTCTACTTCCGCATTCTCTCTTTGTGAGCAGTATCATGTTACAGACAAATCTGGTATCTTACATCCAGTAGCTTCCTCTTTGACAACTTGATGCCTTTTTAGTTAAGACCAGAAGAGCCATGTTACCACCCACCATCCCAGCTCATGTAGGGTGCCTGGGTGCTCTTTTTCTCTCACTCTAAGTAATTCATCACTTAACTCAGGTGATTGATACCAAGGACTTTGTTTCACGTTCCAGGTGAGACCTTATCCTCTCTCACACAGAGGAACGTGGCTTTGCATGCTGGGACCCTTCTCACTGTGCGCTTATTAACGTGACCATATCTTACAAAGTGCTACAGAATTCATGTTTTAATCACATAGAGTATCAGAGAGGTACTCTCCTCACATATTATCTAACTATGAACTTGTGAGTGTAGCTTTCAGTCTTTTATGGGAAAGGATAGTTTATACATATTTGTATACCCATGTTCTAAAATAAACCTGGTTTACTCTGAGTTGTCTAATAGACAATGGACAACTGTATTGTAAACCCCAAAGTAATTCCTATCTCTATAATTCATAACCCAAGTCATACATCAGTGAGCTTTTCCTCAAATGCATGGATTCTTGTTATTTTTCTCTTTAGAAATGACACATAGGGCTCCTGGGTGGCGCAGTTGGTTAAGTGTCCGACTCTTGGTTTTGGCTCAGGTCATGAACTCAGGGTTCTGGGATCGAGCCCTGTGTCAGGCCCCTCACTCAGTGTGGAGTCTGCTTAAGACTCTCTCCATCGCCCTCTGCCCTTCCCCACCCCTCATGCTTCTCTTCCTCTCTCTCAAATAAATAAATAAATCTTTAAAAAAAGAAAAAAGAAATGACAGATCTTTGGGGTCTCAAACCATTCTCTACATTAGTATGTTGAATTATACTCTGAAACTATGGGATGGGATGAATTACAAGAATTAATTCTGTATTATAATTGTTGATGATTTGATACTGGTTCTGGTACATGAAGGGTCGAAGATTTAAATTTTAGTCTAATAAGTCTGTGAATTTGGGCAAGTTATTAAGCTTTTTTGGGCCATCATTTCCTCATGTGTATACTAGGGGGTTATAGTATTTGTTCTGCTTACTTCATAGGGTTGTTGACTCTGGTTATATGAAGTTATATATATATGAAAATATTAAACACATGTAAGATGGCAGTAAGAAGTCTGAGGATAAATTCCAGTTTGAAAAATACTGTGTACAAGATGACCTGGAAGGAGAAGAACTAAGAACTGACTCTTTACTATGTGCCAGGCACCACTTTTGAAAATACTTTATAATTTAGTGTAATGGTTATTGCTGGAGAAGAGGAGAGGAGAATGGCATCAATTGAATCTATAATGTTGTAATCTTGGGGGGAGAGAAGTCTGAAACAAGAATGGCAAAATGTTAAAATTCAGAACATCTGAATGAGTTCACAGGTGTTCACTGTGTTATTCTCTTTGAAAATTATACAAATATTTCATAACATTTTAAAAATAGAATATCTCCTAAAAAACAAATAAAATATCTCCTTTCAAGAAAACAAAGTCTTTTAACCAGTATACTTCTGTATTTTAGAGAATCATGTATAAACATGGATGTCTAATATCAGTTCCCTGAGTATAAAAACAGGTTATTCACCTATTAAATAGCTAATGAATTTTTTTGCAATCAAGTTTTGTTATGCTATTTTTTATTTCTGCAGGTTTATAAAGTTCTGGTCTCAATGGGCAGGAGTGAGTGGTTTGTCTTCAGGAGATATGCAGAGTTTGATAAGCTTTACAATACTGTAAGTAAATGTCAGTCTGCAGGATTTTTTTTTTTTTTAAAGATTTTATTTATTTATTTGAGACAGAGAGAATGAGAGAGACGGAGAGCACATGAGAGGGGGGAGGGTCAGAGGGAGAAGCAGACTCCCTGCCGAGCAGGGAGCCCGATGCGGGACTCGATCCAGGGACTCCAGGATCATGACCTGAGCCGAAGGCAGTCGCTTAACCAACTGAGCCACCCAGGCGCCCAGTCTGCAGGATTTTTATTTAACACAAAACACCTGAGGGTGCCTGGCTGGCTCAATCAGAAGAGTGTGCAACTCTTGATCTTAGGGTTGTGAGTTCAAGCCCCATATTAAGTATAGAGACTACTTAAATAAAACTTAAAAAAAATTAAAATAGAATAAAACACCTGAGAAAACTTGCAAATAAGAGAAATTTCTTTTTTTAAAAAAGATTTTATTTATTTATTTGAGAGAGAGAGAGAGATCATGCAAGAACAGGGGGAGGGGCAGAGAGAAGCAGCAGACTCCCCACTGAGCAGGGAACCTGATGTGGGGCTTGATTCCAGGACCCTGAGACTATGACCTGAGCTGGAAGCAGGAACTTTACCGACTGAGCCACCCAGGTGCCCCAAGAGAGATTTCTTTGAGTGGTTAAATAATACTCCTACTCAAAAAGACAAGCAGAAAAGCATAAGAGATTCTCCAGAAGCATCCTAACTTTGGAATTCCTACCAAAAAGGGTGGAGAGAGGATTGTTGAGAATTTCCAAGTAAACTCTTGAAGATATAAAAACTAGATATGCAGCTTAAAATACATTTAATGTCAGAATATTAGAAATAAATTCTTTCTACTGCCTCTCTAATAGTTGTTAATCGTCATGTTATTTCTGGTTAAATTGCCCAGCAACTAGATTTAGGTGTGAAAGTTTGTCATAAGCTTACCTTCCTTCTATAGTTTCATTTTTGGCTAGAGGTAAGTCTTCAGTTCCAGATTTTAAGTAGCCAACACAACTAAAATGAATATGGACTTTTGTAAGTTCTAACAGTTACTGGTCGGTGGGGGGTGATATCTAAGGGATCATTAATTGTTTAAATTAGTAAAATCTATTTTTATATATTCAGAATTCAGATATTAAATATTATTTTTAATCCAGTGTTTGCAATTCCAATTACTCTCTAAAGTAGGAAGCGAGAGCACCATGGTCATTGTAACATGTCAGGCCAGATCTATGCAGAGACCAGTGTTTGTGTATTATTGTCCATTGTTGTGTTGGATATTAGTCATACATACCTAGGAGGCCAAAGAACCCCACCTGTGTTGGTCATTATAGACCTTAGATTATTAAGACAGCTCTGGATTCCAAGCTTTGCTTCAGTTAAGGAAAAAAGCAATTATGCTTCAAATCCCAAATTTAAATTTTTTTCTGCCCTAAGAATAAATAGGAATCTCCTTATGTCATTGTTTAATAAGTGGTAGATTACCAGGCATCCTTCAGAAAAAATTGTTTCATATTAAGAAGGTAATTTTCTTCAATTTTCTTAACCTGTCTCTTGATTTTAAAAATAGGGTTAAATAGATACAGAAGTCTGTGGCTTACCATTTGTAAGATACTTTAAATATGGAAGAAGTTAAGCATATCTCAGTTAAGAGATAAATTATTTTCTAAATGGGCCAGAATGAATCCAATGTCTAGTTGTACAATATTCCATGTTTTGTTAAGTCATGAAAGTAAGGCTTCTGATTCATTTCTTTATTTTTTTTTAAGATTTTATTTATTTTGGGAGGGGGGAGAAAGAGAGCAAGCACAAGCGGGTAAAGGGCAGGAGAAGTAGACTTTCTGCCAAGCAGGGAGCCTGACGTGGGACTTGGTACCAGGACCCTGGGATCATGACCTGAGCCAAAGGCAGACGCTTAACCGACTGAGCCACCCGGGAGCCCCTTCTGATTCATTTCTATTTAGCATTTCACTGTATCTGCTTTTCTTCCAAATAATATTCAAATGCTTTGCTAGTTAAAATTGAACTTTTAAAATAATAAAGCTTTTTAAATGGCATTTTTTTCCTATGTAAAAATAATATATATTCTAGGATATCTGGAATGTAGAGGAAAGTAAGTGTTCAAACTTAAAAATCACCCCTCCTATGTTGCTACTCAGAGATCTGTAGTATTTTTACTGTGTTTTCTTCTGTTTATTAATTTTTCTTTAATGCATATGTAGCCAAACTAAATATATATATATTTAGTTGCTTAATCAAATGATACTGTGACAGTCTTTTTTTGACTGTAAGTGAAGTCACACTTTTGAAACAAAATAATAGCCAAAAACAATTTGTACATGAGGATATCTTCTGTAATGTTGAATGATTTTTATTTAGTTAGTTTATTTACTTACTTATTTTTAAGTACACTCCATATCCAGGGTGGAGCACAATGCAGGGCTCAAACTCATGACCCCGAGATTGAGACCTGAGCTGAGATCAAGAGTCAGATGCTTAACCAACTGAGCCACCCAGGCACCCCTATAATGTTGAGTGATTAAAAAAAAATAGTTTATATTGGGAAAAAAATAGTTTATATTGGAGGCTGGGTGAGGGTTAAATTGTCAGCTCTATTTGAAATTCTTGGATACCATTATATAAATGATTAGCATTTTTTTGAGGATTGTACAGATTTGACCGTAGCTATCATGATGATACTATAACACATATATGCATATACCGATAGTTTATATTAACTTCTTTGAGAAACAAGATGAAATTTTTTTCAGTAAACTACTAATAACTGAAAATCTGAGATTTCTTTCTGTATTTTGCTTAAAAGATTATATTAGCCAGATTTACCTTCTAAATGTGTTTCCTTCTGTAGGACTGTTTATAAGAAGGAAGAATGTAGGGGATATCACCTAAAAGCTCAGCAGTGTGGATATCTTTCATGAGTGAAGAACCATCCTCATGTCATGATGGTTTCATGATTTAAATAGCTAGAGATTAGGGGTGCCTGGGGTGCCTGGATGGCTCAGTTGGTTAAGCATCTGCCTTCAGCTCAGGTCATGATCCCAGGGTCCTGAGATCGAGTCCCGCATCGGGCTCCCTGCCTGAGCGGGAGCCTGCTTCTCTCTCTCCCTCTATCCCTCTACCCCCTCCCCTGCCCACTTGTGCGCGTGCTCTCTCAAATAACTAAATCTATAAATAGCTAGAGATTAATTAGGTTAGGGTGTTAATATTTAAGTGTCTTTAAGTATAAAGGTGAACTAGAATGGTTTGGGGATACCCTCCCCCCCATGATCACTTTCATTCTCTTTTTCCAACAAACACCCCATTGTAAGCTTTTTGCAGAAAGTTTTCCTTAATATATAGTTGAGTTTTTATTATCCTTCTCCCTCATTTTTCCTGTATTTCTCTTCCTTTTTTCATCTTTTTCTTATTTCTCCATTTTCTCTGTCTGCCTCTTTTTCTATAACTCCTAATTCTACCTCCTGCAGTGAGGTGCAAAGCAAAAAACAGGGGAATCGCATCAGTTGTATTCTTTGAAACCACAGAAGTGGGGTTAAACCTGGCCTGGATTTCCCTAAGACTGAAAACACAAATTCTTTCCCTGTGTTCCTTTTAGAGTACAAGAAAAAACAAAAAGTAAAATAACCAATCTGTAAACATTTTGTCCGTAGAAATGTATTTTTTATAAGTGTAGTTTGCATTTAAAATTCTTTAATTGTAGAAATTGTTGCACACATACAGAAGTAGAGAGAATAGTACAAACACAGATAACAATGTAATGTACCACCAGCTGCCGCAGGTCCAGATACACGGCCATTCTCGTTTCATCTCTCTCCCTAGCCAGCCCCCTGTAATTTTGAAGCAAATTTTAGACTTCATACCATTTCATCTGTAAATATTTTAGTATACATCTCTAAAAAGATAAAAGTTCTTTACAATTGCATGTGCACACATACGCACAGTACTAGTACCACATCTGAAAATAATTAACAATGACATTTTAATATCTAGTATTCAGTTAGTGTTTATATGACTGGTTGATAAATCTATGAAGTGTCTTTATGCCACAAAGTCTCCCCTTCCACCTCTTTTCTTTCTGTTACAGTTTTTTTGTTGAAAAAGCAGGGTCATTTGTCTACAGATTTTTCAGTCTGGATTTTGCTGACTGTATACTTGTGGTGTAGAGTGATTAATACACTCTTCTATTCTTTGTATTTCCTGACATTTTGGTAGTTGGATATATAGTTAATGTGTGTGTGTGGTTTTTTGACATCAGGCTTATAATAAAAATAAGCATTAATCCATTTTTATGACCTTACTGCCCCAAATTTAATGTCTTCAGGGCCAAGTTGTTCTTTGTCTGGGAATAAGCAAATCTGATAAGCGAATGTATTAAAATATTAATAAGGGGTAGGCTAGAGCAGAGGGTCTTGAAAGCAAAATTCACCAGCTCTCTTACAAAACAATTGTCAGTCTGTTCATATAGAAAGAATGCAAAGACCACAACTTCTCTTGAGGTAATAAATGGTGAGTAACATGTATTCAGATCTTTACTCCAGATTCTTGTCTAAGTGCCAAAATCATCTTCATTTTACAGACAAGAAAACTGAAGCACAGAGATGTTAAGTAACTTACCCAGGGTCGCAAAGATACTAAGTGTTCTTTTGGGACAAAATAGGATGATTAGTCAAACTAATGTTATCTTATTGGTGTAATTTAATATTGTATATATTTGATCATGATGTCCTTAAAAGTATGTCTTATGATGTATTTTCTTGAAAATCAGATTATAATTTGTTTTGGTACATGTATAACTAGAAGACTTAAAGAATTAAGTTCATATAATGTTTTTTTTTTTTTTTAATTCTAGTTAAAGAAACAATTTCCTGCTATGGCCCTGAAGATTCCTGCCAAGAGAATATTTGGTGATAATTTTGATCCAGGTAAGCAATACCTTCATAGTGATAGTTGAAGTTTGAAGAAGTAGTTAATGTACCCATTGTGCTGTACAGTAAGTAGTACCAGGCTTCACGAAGCTAATCGATCTCATGTTCTTTGAACATAATGCCTCAGGAAGGGGCTTTCTGTGTACGAGGCATTGTTTTGTCTATATATTTGACAAAGAGAGAGCACAAGCAGGGGTAGCGGGAGAGGGAGAAGCAGACTCCCCGCTGAGCAGGAAGCCCCATGCGATGGGGGCTCCATCCCAGGACCCTGAGGTCATGACCTGAGCCACACTTAACTGACTGAGCCACCCAGGCACCCCCCAGGCATTGTGTTAAATACTTCGCCTGTTTTAATTCATTCAGTCCTCACAAAAACCCTTTGAGGCAGGTGTTCTTATTATCATCAATGCTTTTTAGGTAAAGAAACTGAGGCACATTTAGGTTAATTAATTTGCCCAGGTTCACAGCTAGTAGGTGTCAGATTTGGAAGTTAAATTTAAGCAGTCTGGCTTCAGGTAAATTTATCGGTCATTAAGGATAATTGGGGGTGTTTTTCTAACCATGAAGGACATTCTTTGTTACATCCAGAATATTTATTAAATATATACTGTATACACAGCACCCAGCAAGCCTCTGAATGGGATACTAAGAAAATGTCCTATTGTTCACCCTTAGAGAGCCTTATGACACATAGGCTGTCAGGAGTCTGGAGCTATATGTCTGAAGCCTTAAGCCTGGAGCTTTTTTCACTTGAATCCATATCAGTCTAGGTCGCAAATGGCTACATACAGAGAGATAGAAGTCTCCTTATCCACCAAATAATCTCCTTATTCAGATGAGAAAAGCCACCTATCTATGCCACAGCTGAACCCTGATGAGCTAGAGTGCCGTCCATCCTCATCATCTCTCTTACCTCTGTAACTAATTTGCTTGTAGCCTTGTAGCCCATTAAACCTAGGATTCCTTACATGTCTGCTTTCTTGGGTCTCTACTCAAAAATAAGTTCTCACATCACGTATCCTGACTGTACATCTCTGCAAATTAGCCTTTTTCCACTGTGCCCTATGAAATTCTGTTCATGATTAACAAATTCCTCTTTATCCTCCATCTTTTTCATATTTCTTTTACATTCTTGCTTTAATTAAATTTAGTCTTTTCCCTGAGGCTACTGGATCATCCCCAATAGCCCTCTCAACTGGAGGCTCTTCATTCTTTTACATTTTATGAACCTCAGGATTGGAGAGGGTTCTCACTTCCCCTATTATGTGTAGAATTTTTTTCTCTTGAGAGAATTTAGCACACTTCATTATCATTGCCAGTCTGTCTCATCTGGCTGTAGATTTTATGAACGTTGTACTTGTCTTTTTTATTGATTTATAGTGCCTTGGTAAATCTTGGGTTTTCAATAAATATTACTTGAATATATGAATTCATTAATAAAGAGAAGCAAATAAAGAAAAAGAGCGAGGCAAAAGAAGACCGAGTCGCCACAACAGAGCCAGGCTGGACATTCTGCAGAATTGATTCTGTAGGCCAGTTTTTAGCTGAAGAATGCTTTTTTCCCAATGAAATCTTTCGCAGAAAACGTCATGCGTAGAACAGATAAAAATGGAACTGCTTTGTTGGTGCAGCAGTGAAGTGTGTCTGCGTAGCGCAGGCTGACAAATGTCATCACGGGCACCATGTGGGTCCTAGAGTTATTTGGGTAAAGTGAACGTGAAACACGATGTGAAACCGACAGTGTGCGATACACGGTAGTCACAGGCGCAGAAGAGACAGGACAGAGACTAGAACACGGGCTAAGGGAATATTCCGATAGACCTCATGTTAGCTAATCACAACGAGGACTGCAGTGGAAGTGAGCTACAAATGGAGCAATATGCAGGAACTCTTTTAAGGACAAATCTAAGAAATTTTGGTGATCGCTCAGGTAAAGGAGACATAGAGAAGGGAATGAGAGAGAAGTGAGGTGTCAGGCCTGGGTGAACGAGAGAATGAATTACTATGAAGTGGCAGAAACACATCTGAGAGGAATCGGGAACTGTGTGTTACTGATAATAGAGACTTGAACTCAGTCTGGAGTTCTGGAGAGCCCTTAGTTAAACCTAATGGCAGAATCATTTCATTTCGTCATGGGAAGAAGACAAAGAGATAAAGACCTCTCTCTTGAGTTCTTATGTCGTAGTTTAAGAGCATGTCTCCATTTTCTTGTTTTCACTTCTTGATTCTGGTGGTTGCCAACCTAAGGTAAGTTTTACGTATCTGAAGGTAGATTTTAAGGGTTATTTCTGCCTATACTTTTCAAAAAGTTAAAATTTCATTTTGAATTTAAGGATCTTTCTGTAGAGGGCACAGAGATAGCTATACTTTTTATATTCTAAATGGTTTAATATCAAGGCTTTTGCCAATAGGATCCTGAGGTCAGTATGCAAACTACTGTTTTTTTGAAGTTTAAAAAAAAACAAGTTTATTTTATCTTAACTATTGAAAAATAAGTGTACAAAGTAACAAAATCAGTGTGAGTCCAATAAGAGACAGGACATATGAAATTTAGAGACTATGAATGTTAGAATATATAACTGTTTGCTCAGTATTTTATTTATCCAGTCACAAAAACATCAGTTAACATCAATTAAGTACCTTTCATTACACTTGTGTTAAGGGCTAAAGATAAAATATTTTTTAAAGGCATGATCCTTCAACAGCTTTTATGTAGAAACCACTTTTATTTCTCACTTTTAACCCTTACTAATTGAAGAGAAATAGGTTTGTACAAAATAAAAAGACAACTCCCCATTATTGTTCTAGTCTTTGAGTTCTTCTGAAGCCAAGACATTGTACCCATCTAGTTCTTTATAAGACTTGGTGTAGGTACCAATGCCTCAGGAAATTTTTCTTAAGTGCTAGTCCCTGGGCAGGACTGGGGAGCCTCTTCTCTGCTCTCATAGCAGCTTGTGAATTCTCTGTTAGTTTCTCTGGTGTGCCCAAGTATAGTGATTTGTTTAAATTTGTCTTCCACTACAATTCGAGCTTCTTGAGGATAGGTACCATGTCTTAAGGAAACATTTTTGTATTTCCAGTGCCTTGTACAGGGCAAAGTGTCTAATAGGTGATTGGTGAACAAATGAACAAATGAATGCATGCATGCTATTTTCAACTAGTCTCTTATTTTGGAAGGTCTACTTAATATTAGGTTAAAGATTTTAAAAATCGCTTCTCTTAGAACTTAAATTTTCAAATAGTTGAGGATTGTGAATTAGGTACCTTAATTTTGTTAGCCAGTCTTACTCTTTTTTCTTCTCTTTTGGATGACTTCTATTTTGAGTCACAAAATATTATAGCTAGAAAGAGAGCTTACAGATCATTTAATTCTATCCCCTAGTTGACAGGTTAAAGGGGGAAATCTGTGGTTAGAAAACTAGGCAGTGGCACAAGTGAGACTCAGTTACATCTTAGACTCTGATTCCAGTGTTCTTTCCCTGTAGTAGGCTGTTTTTAAAAGTGCTGCTACTGTTGCAATAGTATATAATAATACAATATCTATTGTAATAATATAGTAATACTAGCAGTAGTAATGATAATAATTGTGCTATTATTTGAGTTCCTAACTATAAAGTAGCTATTTTACCTCTGTTTCATGCATGAGGAAAATAGAGACTTAGCAAAGACCAGCCACCACACAGCTAATACATAGCAGAATTACATTCATCCAGGTTTGTTTGTTTCTCTTTTCACTTTATTGTCTGGGTTATGCATGGGACCTTTAAAAACAAAATTCACAATCTTTTTATGTACATGTTATTTTAAAATTTAAAATTACTTGTTTTGGACATTACAAAAATCTTAACCTTGTTTCCTAACCAGAAAGGTGTGGATTAGGAATTTTAAAAAAAAACAACTCTGTAGTCCCTGGGGGCTCTAAATATCCTTGATGATGAATATAATTAGGCACTCTGGCCACCAGTAGCAGTATTAGGATTAAAACCCAAGGTCTCCTTACATCAGAGTTTGGTGATTTTTTTTTTCCCCCTGTCCCACAGTACTGGAAATTGTGTCCTCTTGGTTGATTTTTCTTGAAGCAGTGAAATGACAGAAATCTGTATAGGTCATTTTCATACACACTCTGGAGACTAAAGCTTTCATTTTATTGTCTAAGCTTTGATTTCTTTTCAGTCTCTAATTGAAATTTCTTTTGAATTACAACAGATAAATTCACATAAATTCTTAATTGGAGAGTTGGTTTTTTTTTTAAGATTTTATTTATTTATTTGACAGAGAGACAGAGAGAGAGGGAACACAAGCAGGGGAGTGGGAGAGGGAGAGGCAGGCTTCCCGCCAAGCAGGGAACCCTATGCGTGGCTGGATCCCAGGACCCTGGGATCATGACCTGAGCCGAAGGCAGACACTTAACGACTGAGCCACCCAGGCGCCCAATTGGAGAGATTTTTAAAAATATATCTCTCCAGGGGCTCCTGGGTGGCTCAGTTGGTTAAGCGTCCGACTCTTGATTTCGGCTCAGGTCATGATCCTCAAGGTCCTGGGATCAAGCCCCGCACAATGTGGAACATGCTTGGGATTCTTTCCCTCTCCCCCACCCATGATGCACAAGCCTATATATATATATTTATCTCTAACTCTAATTCTTAAAGATAGTATGTCAGCTTTATATAAATTCTTGGGACTTACCAATAATGGGCTTGTACATTTTAGTCTTACCTGGAATTTTTTTTTTTTTAAGATTTTATTTATTTGACAGATAGACAGCAAGAGAGGGAACCCAAGCAGGGGGAGTGGGAGAGGGAAAAGCAGGCTCTCACAGAGCACGGAGCCCTATGCAGGGCTCGATCCCAGGACCCTGGGATCATGACCTGAGGAGAAGGCAGACGCTTAACAACTGAGCCACCCAGGCGCCCCTCTTACCTGGAATTTTTAAAGATACTTGCCGGCTTAATGTTGATCTAAAAATTAAGCTTGGAATTTCCTCTAAACTTTGACTGCTATAGGGCTTCTTTTTTCATTACTGACTTCTTTCTGTTCTTATGTTGGGCTTTCCATAGGGCTTTCAAAAACTGTTCAGAGTCAGCAATGAAATGGAAGTAGCACTTACGCAGCATGGGCTGTAGCTCACTAAAGAAGAAACTTAATCTCACAATTGATCTCCCAATGTAAAAATGTACCTTTAGAGTAAGTATCCACAGAACACGTTAGAGCTGCATCCCTATAATACTAGCTTTTCTCTAAATACCTCAAATGTCATTCATTTTAGTTTTCTCTCCTATGTTTACTTACTAAGTTCAGTTCCTGAAAAATAACTGTTTCAAGTGTAGTTTCTATTGTAAACCTCACCTTTCCTTTACTGTGTGGTGAATAGGAAGAATGCCCTTGGAAGAGTTCTATACGATACCTTCCTGAACTTCTTCAAGAAATTCACAGTTGAACAGGAAAAAAGTACTAAGTGCATCTGGATCTAACAGACCAGATCTAATTTATATTTGTTCTTTTATAGCCATACCTTACATTTAAGAAATGGAAATAAACCTGAGTGACTAGAAACAACCCATAATTTTGGTGACAAGCATTGTACATTAAAACCTTTATTGAGTAGAAACCATTTTACTAAATCAAAACTCATTCTTGAGTTGAATATTGTTTATAGATTTTTATTGAGACATGCAGCCAGTGAGACACTTTTTCAAATGTCCTGTTTTTTTCCATTTTTAGAGTATATTTCTTAAGAATTTGGGTTCGTCTCCCCCTCCGATTTCCCCCCTTCATTTTTCCCTTCCTACTATCTTCTTCTTCTTCTTCTTCTTCTTTTTTTTTAACATATAATGTATTATTTGTTTCAGAGGTACAGGTCTGTGATTCAACAGTCTTGCACAATTCACAACACTCACCATAGCACATACCCTCCCTAATGTCTATCACCCAGCCACCCCATCCCTCCCACACACCCCCCACTCCAGCAACCTTCAGTTTGTTTCCTGAGATTAAGAATTCCTCATATCAGTGAGGTCATATGATACATGTCTTTCTCTTATTGACTTATTTCGCTCAGCATAACACCCTCCAGTTCCATCCACGTCGTTGCAAATGGCAAGATCTCATTCCTTTTGATGGCTGCATAATATTCCATTGTATATATATACCACATCTTCTTTATCCATTCATCTGTCGATGGACTCTGAGAAACAAACTGAGGGTTCTAGAGGGGAGGGAGGGCAGGGGGATGGGTTAGCCTGGTGATGGGTATTAAAGAGGGCACGTACTGCGTGGAGCACTGGGTGTTCTACGCCAACAATGAATCATGGAACACTACATCAAAAACTAATGATGTAATGTATTGTGATTAACATAACAATAAAAAATTTAAAAAATAAATAAAAAAAAGAATTCAGGTTTAGGGTGATGGATTTGTAACCCCACAACAACAAATAACAACAACAATAACAAAAATAGTAATAAAGATTGTGCTCTTTCTCTCTACCAGGCATTTTATTGTAAATTTATATGCATTGTCTCACTTAATCCTATAACAGCATTATGAGGTATAAATGTTAGTTATCCTCATTTTACAAGTACGGATTTAAATCTTAGAAAGGTTCAAGGTCAGTTAACTAGTAAGTAGCAGAGATAAGATGCTTGAATAAAGTTTTTTAATTCCAAGAAACTTTTGTGCTTTACCTGTATTGCTAACCTGCTCATGCATAATCCTTAATTATCAAGTCAAAACACTTTGAAGCTGCTAGACAGTTGTTCTTTAGAAAATTGTTCCATTGTGTGTTTCAAGGGATGTTTAGCAGGGGGAGTTTTTTAGCAGCCAAGTTTTGGTGGTAATTAACCAGTTGCAAGGATTTCCAGTAATTCTTGTTACTTTTTAAAATTAGTATGATTTTCCATCACCAGTGTCATAGTGTTAATTTTTATTCATTATCTGGTAGTACTTGAGGAGTCAGACAAATTGTGGTGAGTCTATTTAGAACCTAAAAGGGCATTTCTTTGGAGAGTTTTCTTTTGGGAGATATGTTTTCTGCTTGATTTTAATTTTATAATCGTTGTATTTATAGATTTAAAGATATATATATATATTTCTAAGTATTTCTTATTGTATAACAAGAGACATGAATTGAGAAATAGCTTATTGAGCGGAGCCTGGGTGGCTCAGTCGGTTACGCGTCTGCCTTCGGCTCAGGTCATGATCCCGGGGTCCTGGGATCGAGCCCTGCATCGGGCTCTCTGCTCAGTGGGGAGCCTGCTTCTCCCTCTCCCCCTGCCACTCCCCCTGCTTGTGCTGTCTCTCTGTCTGTCAAGTAAATAAATAAAATCTTTAAGAAAAAAAAAGAAACAGCTTATTGATCAAATTGGTTGTCCATTCTTATATAACTATATTGATGATAATTACATAGTCTGACATAAATAATCCTAATAGTTTGTCTCTCTTAACAGATTTTATTAAACAAAGAAGAGCAGGACTGAATGAATTCATTCAGAACTTAGTTAGGTATCCAGAACTTTACAACCAGTAAGTAATTTTCATTGTGTTTTGAAGAGGTGCTGAAACCAAATCTAAGAATATTGAATAAGCTACTGGTCTAGATTTTATACATTCTATAGAATATTGTGCTATATATGCTTGTAAAATCCTCAAGCAGTTTTCCCCTGGTATCTTTAATCTCCTTTTCCCTCCATCAACTCAAGACCCTAGTTATTTTCTTTCTTCCTTTTGTACTTGTATTAGTTTTTTAGATTAAACTTGAAAGAACGTTGCATAGTACACAGTTAAGACGTTTTTCTAGTTATATTCAAAAAGCATTTGTTAAATCACTGTATTATACAGCTGAAGCTAATATTACACTATATGTTAACTCACTGGAATTTAAATAAAATTTTTTTAAAAGCACTTATTAAGTACCTGCTCTATGCATTGGTAATGTAAAGAGGGCCTTCCAGAGGCACAAGCTCCCTGTCTAGTGGGAGAAACAGACGTATAAACAAGCAATTAAAGGTAGGAAAGTTTTATGATAGAGGTGCTAGAAGATAATGGAGAAAAACGTGGCCAGCTTTCCTTGGGAGGAGGGCAAGCAAGGCTTCCTGGGATTTAAAGGATGTGCAGTTGTTCCAGAAAAGGTAGGGAGAGCATCCAGGCAAAAGGGGCAGTACATGTAACAGAATCTACAAAAAGCCTGACATGTTGAAGACACTTTAAGTGTTTACATTTCACGGTGACTAGACTATGGAGTAGGTTTTCAGAAAGGAGATGAGGCTGAAGGACTTGGCAAGGGTCACGTACACACGCCAACATCCTTGTTCCACCTGTGACGGTATTCTGTCGACCCAGACAAGGAGTCCAGGCCTTCTCCACATAGCATTGCAGACAGCCACTTAACAGGAAGGTGCTTTCCCGGCCGTGTGTGTGTCTCATGCTAATAAGCCAGAAGGGTGGGTCCTGTCGGAAATACAGGTAGATCCATGGTTTGAGATGTGTTTTCATTTTTGAGTCTGGTAATTAGTTCATGGATATTCATTATAATTATTATGAATTTTAATTTACATATATGTTACTTTGTTTTATTTACATAAAGTATTATGTTCTTAGAAGAAATAAAGAGGATAAAGTAAAATATCTCGGGAGTTTTCCATAGCTGTGTAGACGTGAAGGTTGCCTTATGGATGGTGATGCAAACGTGACACACTTAATAGTCTTTTCAGAATCACAACACTGAAGGACTGTATTTTTAGCAGTTGTTCTAAAACCGGTGACTACTATTTGTGTAGTTCTTCACAGTGTAATTACTGAGGGTGACTACCATTCTGAGCAAGTCCTCTGACCTCCTTTTTTTAACTTAATATAACTTACTAACTCAGTAAAATACTAGAACTGGACCTCCTCTGACCAAGGTCTTCTGCCCATTGCTTTGGATTTTCCCTGTTGCTCACAAGGCCAAGGGTCGGGAAGAGGTGCAGCACCTCGGGTAGCTCTGGGCTTAGCCAGTGCATTGAGGAGCAGGTGCCTTTCCATTCTGGGCCTTCAGCAGGTAACGAACAAACACAAAATCAGAGAGGATCCTTGAATTTGGTGTTTGTATGTCGGTCTTTTCCTCAGCAAAGAGCCTTTTGTGATTTGGCTCTCTAAATAATTATTTTTTAAACATTATGCAGCCACTCTGGAAAGCAATATGGAGGTTCCTCAGAAAGTTGAAAATACAGCTACCCTATGCCCCAGCAATTGCACTACTGGGTATTTACCCCAAAGATACAAATGTAGGGATCCGAAGGGGTACGTGCACCCCCATGTTTATAGCAGCAATGTCCACAAAACCAAACTATGGAAAGAGCCAAGATGTCCATCAACAGATGAATGGGTAAAGAAGATGTGGGGGGTGTGTGTGTGTGTGTGTGTATGTAATGGAATATTATGCAGCCATCAAAAAATGAAATCTTGCCATTTGCAATGAGTGGGATGGAACTAGAGGGTATTATGCTAAGCGAAATAAGTCCATCAGAGAAAGAGAAGTATGTGATCTCACTGATATGAGGAATTTGAGAAACAAGACAGAGGATCATAGGGTAAGGGAGGGAAAAATGAAACAAGAGGAAACCAGAGAGGGAGACAAACCATAAGAGACTCTTAATCTCAGGAAACAAACTGAGGGTTGCTGGAGTGGAGGGGGGTGGGAGGGATGGGGTGACTGGGTGATGGACATTGGGGAGGGTATGTGCTATGGTGAGTGCTGTGAATTGTGTAAGACTGATGAATCACAGACCTGTACCCCTGAAACAAATAATACATTATATGTTAATTAAAAAAAAATTATGCCTTTTTCCTAAGACAAATTCTAGGTATTCAGCTTAGATCCACCCCCTAACCATTAATTTTTGCTATCTGCCCTTGAGATTACTCAGATTGTCATATTAGTGGCTTGTTTGAAATACAGTTCCTAAACCAAGAGGTCAAATTTGTCTTCTTTGACAGAGCCTCACATGGAATAAATATAGAACAAATGTTGCTGGTGATTATTTCTCCTGGTATTTTGAAGTGTTACTCAGAACCTCTACCACTATGTATTAAATTCTAAATATTCATTCTGGATCTGGAAGTATAACATTTTAAAGATGCTATATTTGGTATTAAAAGTCAACTAAAAGCAATTTGATTATTTTCATTTTAACATTATACTATAAAATACACAATTCTTAAGTATACAACCTAATGGATTTTTATGTACATATACACCCTATAACTGCCACCATTCCATTCAAGGTAGAGGACATTTATAGAATTCCAAAAATAAATAGCCAAGAGTTTTTTCAAACTTAATTTTTCACTGACATTTCGTATTTTCTGGATCTCATCTTGGTGTTAACAGAGCTTTGTTAATTTTCACACTTTTAATTTATACATCAAACTATAAAATTGTACAGATTTAAGAGAGCAAGAAGAGAAGCCAATCATCAAGTGTATCTTGAACACCTACTGTGTACCTGTTACTCCTGTGTTAGGGAAATGCAGTTTAAAAATACCTTTACTTAATGGGGTGCCTGGCTGGCTTAATCAGAGGAGCATGTGACTCTTGATCTTAACAGTTGTGAGTTTGAGCCCCATGTTAGGTGTAGAGATTACTTAAAAATAAAATCTTAAAAAAATAAAATTACCTTTACTTCTTTTAAAACAACTTTACTAAAATTTATTGTTAGAATTATTTAGAAACTGGAATAAGATAGGTTAATATTTATTTCTCTGATTTCTAGATTAAAAAAAGGGTTTTCTGAGCATATCGGCAGTGCATGATGTAAAGTAAAACAGTGACAAATTTGACTTAAAAACTTTTGAACCCCAGATATCACAAGTGAAATTAAAAACCAAAAACGTAGAAAAAGCTTCCCATAGTAAAGGACAATAGATAAAATATACTTACTATAGAAAGAGCTTGTACAGATAGGACACACTTAAGACAGCAGAAGAAATGGACAAAGCACATTAGTGATTTATAAAAGAGGAGATACAAGTGGCTTATTAATTACCAGAGAAACTGAATATTTCCTTATCTATTTAAGAAATGCAAATGGGAGTAAAAATACCTTATTTTAGCTTTATTGCAGTATAACACATACAGAAAGGAGCACAACTCATGATTATATGCTTAATGAACTATGAGAAAGTGAACACATCTGAGTTGCCACCTTCCAAGCCAAGAAATAGAACATTACCAGCACACCTGAAACCCCTCACATGCCTCCTCTCGATCTCTGTTCCTTCCCTCCTTCCCAAAGGTAATGATTCTCCTGATTTTTAGCAGGATAGATTAAGGTGCCATTGTTGTACTTTATAATACATGGAATCATACAATATGTTCTCGATCTGGCTTGTTTTCAACCATGTGAGAGTCATTTATATTGTTGGACATAGCTATAATTTGTTGATTTCCACTGCTGTATAATATCCCATTGTATGAATATACTCCAGTTTATCCATTTTACTGCTGATACACATTTGAGTTATTTTTATTTTGTTACAAATAATGTTGCTATTAACATATCTTTTCCTGCAATGTGCAAACATTTCTGATGTATTTGGAATAGAACTTCAGGGTTGTAGGGTATTATATATTTAACCTTAAGGGATAATATTAAAAATGTTTTCCAGAGTGATTGTACCAGGTAATACTTCCACTATCCATGTCTGAGATCACACTGCTCACCTCACCAACACTTAGTATTGTTAGTCTCTTCAGTTTGAGCCATTCTGGTGAGTGGGTTGTGGTATCTTACATGTTGCAATTGTCTTTCACTAATTACTAATAAAGTGGAGTGCCTTTTCTTTAAATTACTTATTTTTACTTAAATTATTAGAGATAGTAATATAAACTAATATTTAATGTTAATGAGAGCTGGAGAGAGGGTTCAGGATGTTCATCTACTGCTGGGAGAGAATAAATTAGCATAACCTCTCTGGAAATCAGCTTAACAAACTGTATTTAAAGCCTAAAAATGGTTTATAATTCAGACCAAATAAGTTTATTTTTAAAAATCTGTATTGAGGGGCACCTAGGTGGCTCAGTCGGTTAAGCGTCTGCCTTCAGCTCAGGTCATGATCCCAGGGTCCTGGGATCAAGCCCCGCGTCAGGCTCCCTGCTCAGTGGGAAGCCTGCTTCTCCCTCTCCCGCTCCCCCTGCTTGTGTTCCCTCTCTCGCTGTGTCTCTCTCTGTCAAATAAATAAATAAAATCTTTAAAAAAACAAAAAAATAAATAAAATAAATAAAAATCTGTATTGAAAATCCTACATGCAGTTCTAATGTTATGCACAAAAATTATGATTGCAACATTATTTGTAGCAGTGAAAGTTGTATAATAAAAAGTTAGAGGCCATCTAAATATTCTAAAGCGAAAGAATATTGAATAACATTTAGTGCATTCTTATTATACAGCATCATACATCTATCAAAAGTGACTGTTTACAAGGAGTTTTTAACAACATGGGGAAATGTTTATGATGTAGTTTTTAGGTAAAAAATAACCAGTAAGATAAAAATATTTTAAATACAGGGTGGTCTTAACAGTGCAGGAAAAAAAATTGAAATAAAATACCACCAAGATTAGTAATAGTTGCCTCTGTGTGGTAAGATTGAAGATCCTCACCCTCACCTTTAAAAAAAAATTTTTGTTGAGATAAAATTCACATAAATATAATTTACACTTTTAGCTGTTTTTAAAGTATACAATTTTGTGGTGTTTAATATGTCACATTGCTGTATAACCATCACAACTATCCAGTTCTATTGCCTCAAGGCTAATCTGACAACATCACTCCAAAGAGACTGCAGCTGACCCTTGAACAACATGGGTTTGAACTGTGTGGGTCTGCTTATGCATGGATTATTATTATTATTTTTTTTTAAAGATACTTCTTTTTTTTTAAGATTTTATTTATTTATTTGACAGAGAGAGCTAGAGAGGGAACACAAGCAGGGGGAGTGGGAGAGGGAGAAGCAGGCTTCCCACTGAGCAGGGAGCTGGATGTGGGCTTGATCCCAGGACCCTGGGATCATGACCTGAGCCGAAGGCAGACGCTTAATGACTGAGCCACCCAGGCGCCCCAACATGGATTATTTTTTGATAAGTACAGGACAGTACTGTAAATGTATTTTCTCTTCATTACAATTTTCTTAATATTTTCTTAGGTTACATTATTCTAAGAGTACAGTATGTAATACATATAACAAAATAAGTGTTAATCAACTGTTTATGTTACTGGTAAGGCTTCGGGTCAACAACAGGCTGTTAGTAGTTAAATTTTGGGGGAATCAAACAGTTACACATGGATTTTCAACTGCGTGTGGCGTTTATGTCCCTAACCCCCATGTTGTTCAAGGGTCAACTGTACTTTTGAATTTCTCCTTCCCCCAACCCTTGGCAATCACTAATCTGCTTTTCTGTCACTGTGGGTTTGCCTGTTCTGGACATTTCATATAAATGGAGTCATATAATATATGAACTTTTTTGTCTTTTTTTAGCCTAATGTTTTTGAGGTTTATCCATGGAGTATTAATGTGTCAGTACTTCAGTCCTTTTTATGACTGAATGATATTCCTTTGTATGGATATGTTACATTTTGTTGGTCCATTCTTTTGGGTTGTTTCTACTTTTTGGCTATTGTGAATAATGCTGCTATGAACATTTGTGAGTTTTTGTGTGCATATGTTTTTATTTTTCTTGGGTACATACCTAGGAATGGAATTGCTTAGTCATATGGAAATTCTGTGTTTAACTTTCTGAAGAACTGCCAAACTGTTTTCCACAGTGGCTCTATACATTCTCACCAGCCCTACTCTTTTTAAAAATTATTTTCCATCTTTCTGAATTTCTACAGTGAATGTATATTTTATTTAATCATTAAGGACAATTTGATGAGGAGTACCTCAGATACAGAGTTTAAATTATCCCTCAGGGATGTCATTAATTCAGTCCTGTCACTTCATTAGTGCATTAAGGCCCCCTTGTATTTTAGTCTTATTTTTTTCTCTTCATGTTTGATCTTCATACCCATCTCTTCATCCCTCCTGTTGATACCCACTCATATATTTGTTATGTCTTTGGAATTTGTTTATCGGGTATTGCTTCATGTCTGTGAATATTTAATATATATACAAAAATGATACTGTACTACCTTGTTTCTGACTCTTGAGTAGAATTCTCTGTGGGCAGTGACCGTAGCTTTCTTACTAATTTTAATTTAGTGGTAGATGCCTATTTTGCTTCTGATTCACTGCTAGAAAGTTACAATGAGTATCCTAGTCACGTGTCTTTCACTAAACCTACACATGATTTATTTTTTGTGGTTTATTCCTAGAACTGGAATTTCTGGGCCCAGGAAAAATGCAGACACAGTTTTACCAAGTATTGCCAAATTCCTTTTCAGAAAAGTTGCCTCATTTCACATTCTTACTAGCAATGCATGAGGGTGTCTCTTTCCCTATATCCCTACCAGCTTCTGATATTCTCTGTCTTTCTAGTTTTTGCCAGTTAATGGACAGAAAGTGGTATTTCATTAGTGTTTTAATTTTTATTTCTTTGATTATGAATTAAGCTAGACATCTTCCTTACCATTTGGGTTTTTTCTTTATGAACTGCCTTGTTTCTATCTTTGACCATTTGTCTGTTGGATTCCCTATTTTTAAAAAATTAATCAGCCTGTTCCTTTTATAATATTGATGGATTGTATTGGCTTTCATACTGTAAATGCTACTATGGTTGTTTTCATTTTAAAAGGGAGAAAAGCTATAGAAATGCTTTCAAAGTCATAATAAAGTTAATTTTTGTTTTTAGTCCAGATGTCAGAGCATTCCTTCAAATGGACAGTCCAAAACATCAGTCAGATCCATCAGAAGATGAGGATGAAAGAAGTACTCAGAAGGTAGTAAGAGGGATTGTATTTTTTAACAGAAAAAAAAACCATTCCCCAAAGATGAAATTACTGACAACTTTGTGGCAACATTTACTTAAAATGATGTAATTTCATCCATTGTAGATTTTCTGCTCTCTAGAATACATAAAAACAAATGTGTACACCTCTTACTGGTTACTACTTGTTAAAAAATTTATAAAATGAGGACTTTTATGATGAAAAAGTAATACATGCTAGTATTTAGTAAGGAAGAGTAGTAGAAAGTTTAGTTAGTAGCAAGTTTTGAAACTTTCTACTAGGGGCCCTTGGGTGGCTCAGTTAAGCGTCTACCTTTGGCTCAGGTCATGATCCCAGGGTCCTGGGATTGAGACCTGTGTTGGGCTCCCTGCTCAGCAGGGAGTCTACTTCTCCCTCTCCCTTTGCCTGCCACTCCCCCTGCTTGTGCTCACTCTCTCTCTCTGTCAAATAAATAAATAAATAAAATCATAAAAAAAATTGGATGTATTACTTCCTTATCCCTAACCAGACCAGTAATTTTTAATATTTTAGTGGTTTTCTTTCTAGTCTTCTCTTAATATATAAGGATTTTCTGGTTACCTAATTTTAATTGTACAATATATACAATTTTATATTCTCTCTTCACTTTGCCTCTTAAATTTTTATCATTATATATCTTTATAATCATTAACATACTAAAACTGTTGTTTTGAATTTTGACCAGTAGGAAAGGCCTTTCAACCAAAATGTTAATTGAATACTTCTTCTACATTGCCAAGTTTTGGCATGAACTCAGTTTTATTCCTGTAGGTACATGCACATAATCAGTATGTCTTCCAAATCAAGAATAGGATATTCTTATTTTTTTAATCAATTGTGGTAACAAATAGGATAAGCCGTGGCTTATTATAAAGATGTTTTCAACATTTACTTTAGAAAGTGATGTGAGAAAGGTAAATTATAAAACTTAACCCAGAGAATTATTATTTAGCAATTAAAATTATAATGAAAAAGTGTATATAAATATGGTGACACCTTTATAATTAATACATGATGAAAACTGTGTTTGCTTAATATATGAATGAAAATCAGAGGTATTGGGTTCAGGTTTGTTTTTGTCTTTATAATGTCTTATTTTGTCATGGTTCAGTTTTTGGATTTAAAAGATAATATGAATCAGAACATTATTGTCACACAGCTAAAATCTTCATTTGGAAAATAGACATATTCCTTTTTTGTGACTACTGTAAAGTAGTAATTTTCCATTTCTGATGCCACAAGAGGGTTTTCAGTTAAGAGAACTGATATATCTTTTCCATTTGTGACATGGTTGATTCTAGGACAACATAAAAGGATATTTTAACTTTGTATCTTTGCAACTTGTCAAAAGAGAAACAAACTGGGAGAGCATTTGTAATAAATAAGGCATATTTGTAATAAATAAGGCAAAAATATTTATGTAAAAATGTCATACAAATGGATTTTTGAAAAAAAGGATATTTAAGACCCCAGTAGATTAAGAGAAAAGGGGCATGAAGAAATACGGTAAACAGAGATGTGGGGGAATGTTCAACCTCAGTGCAAGTAGCAAGTGAAATTTGTACAATAGAGATTTTTTTTCTCTGCCAAATTAACAAAAATGTAAATAAAGTATTTCAGGACTGATAAGGGTAAAGCACAGTAGGCACCCTCAGGCTTTCCTGGCATTGCTATAATTTTATGCAACTCTTTTGGAAAGCAGTTTGGCAATGTGTACCAAACATGAAAATATTCTAATTATTTAGGAATTGATGCAAATGAAATAATTCTTTACACAGAAAAAAAGATATTCGGGGTGCCTGGGTGGCTCAGTCGTTAAGTGTCTGCCTTTGGCTCAGGGTCATGATCCCAGGGTCCTGGGATCGAGCCCCGCATTGGACTCCCTGCTCCGTGGGAAGCCTGCTTCTCCCTCTCCCACTCCCCCTGCTTGTGTTCCCTCTCTCGCTGTGTCTCTCTCTGTCAAATAAATAAATAAAATCTTAAAAAAAAAAAGTTATTCATTTTAGTACAGTTTCTGTGAAAAATTAGAATAAATTTAAATATTCATCAATCAAATAGTGTTTGTCCCCATATATTGTACATTTTGAAAATACTTAAGATAGTATTTTAAGTTTTGATATACTGTTACCTGAAATCAGGGTATAAAATTTTATATTCATTTTCTCACAGTGATTCCAGTCAGTTTTTTAAAGTTTAAAGTTACATAAAGACTGTATGAAATTGCTATAATATTTGCAAAATCATCTGTTAATAAGGTTATAGATTTTTTAAAAGCATTTTCTTCCTGATACTTTGCATATTGTCCAATTATGAGTATATATTTTTAATTGAAAAAGGTGAAACTATTAAAAAATATTTTAAAGAATAAAATGTATGTAACCCTGAAATTTCCATGTTTTGCTTGGCAATCATGTTGAGAATATATAGGTTTAGGTCATTTGAAAAATATCTTGCCTTGCTATAGGAGACAGCTGGTTTTGAAGAAAGAACCTCCCCGAGTTCTGGTCCCTGTTCTCTGTCACTTCTGGCCTCAGATCTGAATTTTATTTCCTTTCTCTTTTTTCATCCATAAAATCTGAAACTTGGACTAGGATCTCCTCCAGTTTTAAAATATGGATAAAAAGAATCTCTTCAGAAAAGGGAGAGAATCTCAAGCAGACTCCCTGCTGAGTACAGAGCCCAATCAGCAGCTCGATTTCAAGACCCATGAGATCATGACCTGAGCCAAAATCACGAGTGGGATGCTTAACCGACTGAACCACCCAGGCACCCTGCTGTAGCTATTTATTAAGGACTTCTAAGTGGATAACTAAATTAGTAGCCAGAAAATATCTTTCAGGGCTTTTTAGTGAGAAAAAAATAGAGGCCAAAAGAAGTCAAGAAACATGCTTTTGATTAGTGTTCACTGTTAATAAATTATATCTCACTTTTGGTTTAGTATAATCTTTAAAAATAGTGGGTAGAGTAAAAAGTTATCTGATTATATTTTCCAATAATTTCCATTATTATTTCAGCAATGTGCTCTATTAGGAAAACCACTGCTATGTAATGAAATCTTCCTACATAGTGGTGTGATTCAGGGCACAGGTTGTCCTATTGTTTAATCCATGCTTATTGAATCCTCTTCCCTCATCTATATAAGGAAAGTTAATTAAATGGAAAAGTGATCCAGTTTTGGGGGGCCTGGGTAGCTCAGTCAGTTGAGCGACTGGCTCTTGGTTTTGGCTCAGGTCATGATCTCTTGGGTTGTGGGATTGCCCTGCATGGGGCTCTACACTCAGCGGGGAGTCTGCTCGAAGATTCTCTCCTTCTGCCCCTCCCCCTGCTCACCCGTGAGCTCTTTCTCCCTCTGTCTCTGAAATAAATAAATCTTTAAAAAAGTGATCCTTCAGTTTTCTTCATGTTCATTAAAAGAATAAGTGTATCAGAATTGTAACTTAGTTTGTATTATGTTATCAGATTCTCTGGAACACTATAATATATAAACAGAAAAGATTCTTCCATGTTAAAATTATGGCACAACAGGATGAATCTTATTTCATGAACCAGATTTTTTATACATTTTTTTTTTGTCTTGTGCTAGATTGTATGGTTCTTTGTATTTTTGTCTTCTGGGGGCTGAAAATGTATTACATGAAGATTTTTCATGTAAAGATATTGATAGGAAATTTCATTTTATAAGAAGCTGGTGCCAATATTGTTATTTCATAAGAAATGTATTATTATGCTTAGGAATTTTGCCCTTTATTTTTAAAAGTAGTTTGCATTCTGGAGATTGTCTATAAGTTTCAAATGAATTTAAGTGGAAATCTATATGATATATGTCTCTAATAAGAAATTGCTTAGGTAAAATTTTTCAGTACTGATTAAAGAGAAAAATTTTTTAAAGCTTATATCTATAACTTATATCAAGGATAATTATATAGGGGTATAGTAAAAGTATGCATATTTGGGATCTCTATAACTTTTAATTCTCTATGCATAAAGAATTTCAAAGGGAATTTAATGTGAAGCAGGATTCACTACAGTTGGCTTTATAAAAAATGCTCACATTAACAAGATCACTAGATTAATCTGATGGGATTTGGGGTTAAATTTCTAGCTAATTATTAGTGAGCTAGAATCTTTTCTTAAATTGCTTTATGGCATAGTAGGTAAGTAAAGATTTGCTTCTAAATTAATATTAGGAATCAAATTTATATTATTATAAAGAGAAAAGGCTATCTAAAATTTTTATTTGACTACAGTGGTGGAATTAGAAAGAAAAGCACTCTTGTCTACATGTATTTGACTTGGAAATAAGTCCATCTCCTATAATTCATTCGAGCATTAGCAGTCTTCGTCCTCATCATCTTATTATTTCCATATCATAAAATTAATAAGCAATTATTTGAGAATTTGAAAAAACAGCCATTTTAACCAGCGTTTTAAATGTAGAAATGATCCTTCATAAATTGGGGTTTCTACACCCACCTTGTCCAAGGAGCTTTCCCCAGTGTACTTCATTCATTTGACTACTTTGAGCTTTATTTCTGCCTTATTTTTCTCCTTACAACTGCTCTTGAAATTTATCGTTAAAATGATTATATTGTGTGTTTCCAAATAAGTTACTGCATTTATTAAGAATTAGGACTTCAGGCTTCTTTAACATGGCAATACATCCAATATCTGTGGTAGAGTTATGTATATTTTATTTCAGAAACATTCATTGACTGATAACCTTTGAAGTTCCAATAAGAGTGTTACTGCTTTTTTTCCCCGTCCCAATAGCTACACTCTACCTCACAGAACATCAACCTGGGACCATCTGGAAATCCTCAGTAAGTCTGTTTCAAACATCCTCTAACTGAATTCTAGGAAGACCTTTTTTGTGAATGTATAAATATATACCAGTTTAATTAGACCAGTTTAACTAGAACCCTATAAAATATAATAACCATAGTTACAGTGAATATAATACTATCATATGCTTGCCTGTTTTACTGCCCTAGCTTTGCATTACTTTAATAGAGTTCGGAGTTCTTAAATCCACAAATTATAGTTGGGTTCTGCTGTTTTGCTATTGTTATTTCTCTAGGGTGTGTGTGTGTAAAACCAGTAGACTTTATTTCTCAGGAGATCTGAAGTCCAGGGAGGTATTCTGACAGAAGTGTCCATGCAGGCCTAATGGATATTCTCACTGGTGCTCGGTGTTTTTGGTGCAACCCTAGTTGTCAGCCAGCTTGTTCCAGAAGAGTCATGATGGACATTAGCATATTAAAGGCTATTAAACTTGCTTTAACCAGTTCCTCCCTCCCGTGGTCCCATATTTGAGCACAGGGAAAACATTGAGGAATAGCAGGAATGGCATATATAGAGTTCATCTTGAATGTCAACTCTAGCAGTTCATTAGAAGTGAATGAAGGGGGGGAAATCGAAGGGAGAGACAAACCATGAGAGACTATGGACTCTGAGAAACAAACTGAGGGTTCTAGAGGGGAGGAGGATGGGAGGATGGGTTAGCCAGGTGATGGGTATTAAGGAGGGCACGTGTTGAATGGAGCACTGGGTGTTATACGCAAACAATGAATCATGGAACACTACATCAAAAACTAATGATGTAATGTATGGTGACTAACATAACATAATAAAAAAAAAAAAGAAATGAATGCCTAGACCACTGAATACGAAGGATTCCAGGCCACTTCTTGGCTCAGTTGGAGGAGTGCCCTGACAAATCAGTAATATCTGCCATGGTTTGGAGAAAGAGTATAGTATTGCTGTCCTTACTTGTAATGATTCTTCAGGTTCATTGGATTCATTCTATCTTTTATCCCAGGACGTTATGTTTCCCTCACTCTTTTGGTCCACTTAGTGAGTAAAGATAGATAAAGAAATGGCCCAAGGTTTGGGTCCTTCAGCATTGCAGTAAGGTAGAAAAACTGGGAATGTGATGTCACAACAATCAGATGAAGAAAGTGTGTCAAGGAGGTAGTAATTAACTCTGTTAATGTTGCTGGTAAAGCAGGTAAGTGTTGAGAATTGACCACTGGATTTGATAAGTCATTGGTGACCTTTGCGAGCCATTTCAGGGGTGTGGTGGGTACAAACTCTGATAGAAAAGAGTTCAAGAGAGAACTAGAGGAGAGGATAGCAGGAATAGACAAAGAATTTAGATCTCTTACTTGAGGAGTTTTACCACAAAGGAAAGCAAAGAAATGGGGTGGTAGCTGGAAGGGGAGGTTTGGTTTTGAGCATGCTTTTCTGTTGTCAACACTGAGTTTATCAGGCAGCACAGAAACAGAAACTCGCTTTCAGTTAGGATGTATCACCAACAGTTAACTGTGGGGCCTTGGGTATTGCCTGAGTTAGCCTATTTACTATGTTTGAGGAATTTGCATGATTGTTCGCTATTACGTTTGTTTAAAAAAATTATTTCAGTATCTCAGCATATCATTCAAGAACAAAATAACTAGTCCAAAGAGCAGATTCTTGAGGAAGAAAAACACCTGAACTTAGTTAAGTATTTATCTCCCTAATCTTTACCTGTTATTATTTAACCTAGACCTGGTGTTACTCACATGTTTGAATTGACCATTTATCTCAGTAATGAATTAAAGGAAATTTAAAATCTAGTAGGTTAAGTGTCTGCCTTTGGCTCAGGTCATGATCTCAGGGTACTGGGATCAAGGCCTGTGTCCTGCTCCCTTCTCAGTGGGGAGTCTGCTTCTCCCTCTCTCTGCTTCTCCTTCCTGCTCATGCTCACTCTCTCTCTCAAATAAATAAGTTAAATCTTTAAAAAAAAATAAAGGAAATTTGAAATCTAAATGGTGTCATTCTCCTCTCCCTAGTCCAACTTAGGATTCAGACTGTGTTGAAGGAAAAAGCTCTTCTGGCTGCTTAGGCTCCACTTTCTGCTGCCCTGTGCTTTTGTCTATCTACAGCCAATGTTGTTTTCACACGGCAGGGTGAAATAAAAGGACAAAATTAGTATTCCCTCTGGTTTCTCTACTGGATTTTCTGCATTACCATCTATGAGAATAAGCAGAGAGGTCTTTTATCTGTAATGTACAATAAGTTATATTACATGTCCGAAGAATTGCCGGATGAGGTAGTCCTTGGAATATATTACTAATTTATATAGTTGTTCAGTGCCCTCATTAACAGCATTGGTGAGGTTTATGATTAATAAAATTGGTTTAAATAGAAGCTACATTGATTTCAAAACAATATACAGATACACATATATCCTTTTCTCCCAAAGAGACTATTACTGAAATCCCTCTTAAGCAGAACTTAACAAGGCTTAAATAAAGTTTTAAAATGTCTTATCAGCAAGTAGATGTTTACTGCTATTCATCATTGCCTATTTTATATTCAAGATGAGACACTGTCATTGTGAAAGCTGGAGTCTTCATGCTAAAATGTTTTGTGCCCAGCATTTTCTTAGTAGAGTGAGGTGCTAAGAAATGTTTAAAAGTTAACATCTTTCCAGTTTCTAGGAGGCTAATTCTTGTCGTTGTTCATTTTTTCAGTGCTAAACCAACAGACTTTGATTTCCTGAAAGTTATTGGAAAAGGCAGCTTTGGCAAGGTAAGAGTGTTTTTATTTTGCCATTCAGTAAATAAGTACTTAAGGAATGCATGCCTTATATATTCCAGGCCGCAGGACTTGTTGGTATGCAGGATATGGAGTTACAATGCTTTCTCTACCTTCAAAATGCTTAGGGAGTTAAGGCGTTTACTCAGATTTTAACATAAAATTCATTTGTTGGAGTATTTGTTGAGCACCTATCATGTCCAAGCAGTGTACTGGGTTCTGGTTAGTTAGAGAGTATTGAACAAAACTGACACAGTTACTACCTTTGTGATGCTTGCAACCTAGTAGGGGAAATAGCCAATTAAAAATATGCAGTCATGGGGCACCTGGGTGGCTCAGTCGTTAAGCGTCTGCCTTCTGCTCAGGTCATGATCCCGGGGTCCTGGGATCGAATCCCACATCGGGCTCCCTGCTCAGCAGAGAGCCTGCTTCTCCTTCTCCCACTCCCCCTGCTTGTGTTCCCTCTCTCGCTCTCTCTCTCTCCTTCTGTCAAAATAAATAAAATCTTTAAAAAAATATATGCAGTCAATAAATAATGAAAAGCAGTAATGGGGACTGTGATGTAAATACAGAATAGAGTGAAGTGATAGAGGACAATAGGCAAGTGGGGGGAAAATTCCTACTCAGATGGGTCGGTCAAGGATGGCTTCTTTAAAGAGGTGCTTTTTAAGCTGAAGCTGGAAAGACAAAAATGAGCAACTGTGAAAATAACAGTTGAGGAAGGAAAGGGGTGTTTGAAAACCCTGCTGTTCCTCGTACAGTGAGTGTCAGATGAATCACACAACTTGACAGTGTGGCCATACCAAGGAAGGAGAATCTGCTTTAAGGCCAGAAGCATCATAGAGGGAGTTACCAGAATCATTAGATATATTTAAGTGCTTTTTTGCATTACGCTTCAGTCTGTAATGAAAATAAATATGTATGTGTTTAATTATAGTTTGCTACATTCTGAGCTTTGGGTATCTCTAGTTTGTTTTCTGAGTTCCCTGGATACCAGAAACTGTAACCATACAATTAAATCCATGTGTGTTAATTCAGCACATATATATTGACCACCCACTACACGTGCTAGTACAGCAACAGAAAGAAAGGGATGCTGCACTCAGAATGCTCACAGTGTATTGGGATGTTAGAGATAATCTGTCATTAAAAATAAAAAGCATTGTCTTTTGGAAACTTCATGTTTAGATCTAGAGTCTACCAGGAATTGGTTCTTGGATATAGCATGAAGTTGTAGGGTCACAGTTAATTTTTTCCCCTATTAATATCCAACTGATCCCACACAATTTATTAAAAAGACAGTTCTTTCCCCACTGATCTGCAGAGTAATTTTCATCATTTATTCAGTGTCCATATATGCATGGATCTGCTTATAGATTTTCTGTTTTATATTTCTGTTTCAAGATATTATATATTGTTCCATTAGTCTATTAGACTGTGTAGAGTGATATCCAACAAAACAAGTCCTCCCTCCTTGTTCTTCTTCAAGAGTCTTAGCCCTTTGCATATCTTTTTAAGTTTTAGAATTAGCATGCCAATTTCCACAAAGTTCTGCTGGATTTTGATTGGGATTGCATTTAATCTGTAGGTCAATCTGGGGCGCCTGGGTGGCTCAGTTGGTTAAGCGACTGCCTTCGGCTCAGGTCGTGATCCTGGAGTCCCAGAATCGAGTCCCGCATTGGGCTCCCTGCTGAGCAGGGAGCCTGCTTCTCCCTCTGACCCTCCTCCCTCTCATGCTCTCTCTCTATCATTCTCTCTCTCTCTCAATAATAAATAAATAAAAATCTTAAAAAATAAAATAAAAATAAAATAAAATAAAATTTATTCTAAACTCTTCTCCATTGAGGGGTCTTGGTTCCATTTTCCTTTTGCCTGTTTGTTTCTTTTTTTAAAGATTTTATTTATTTATTTATTTGACAGAGACACAGCGAGAGAGGGAACACAAGCAGGGGGAGTGGGAGAGGAAGAAGCAGACCTCCTGCGGAGCAGGGAGCCTGATGCGGGGCTCGATCCCAGGACCCTGGGATCATGACCTGAGCCGAAGGCAGACACTTAACAACTGAGCCACCCAGGCACCCCTGCCTGTTTGTTTCTTAACGATCTGCCTGTTCTCCAAATCTACCAATCTATTGAAAAAATGCTTGCTTTAAGGAAATTGGTACCTCCTAATTGCCACATTTGAATTATTTTCTCATAATGTATTGGAAGATGAACCAGTCAAACTAGAGCAGGAAAGGTCAGGCAGGTGGGAGGTGTTGAGAAAAGGAAAAATGTAAGAAGAAAAGATGTTGTATAGAGTCAAATATTGTAGCAAACAAAAAAATGGAAAATGGGGAAAATGCCAACAGTTGATTGAGCACAGGACATTTTTACCCTGAAGATGTTTTGACTCCATCTTGATTAAAAACAAACACTTTTTTCTAATTAATAGGTTTTATTTTTTAGAACAGCTTAGATTTACAGAAAAATTGAGTAAAGAGAAAATACAGGAAGTTCAGAGAATACGCAAACATCCTCCACTCCACACACAGTGTCCCTATTGTTAATATCTTATATTAGCATGGTACATGTGTTCCAGTTAATGAGCCAACATTGATACAAAGTCCATTGTTTATTCAGATTTCCTGCTTTTTACCTGATGTCCTTTTTTTGTTCCAGGATATCATCCACAATACCACATTATATTTACTTGCCATGTCTCCTTGAGCTTCTCTTAGCTCTAACAGCTTCTCAGACTTCCCTTGTTTTTGAGGACCTTGATGGTTTTGAGAAGTACTTATGGGGTATATTGTAAGATGTCCCTCTATTAGAATTCGTCTGATGTTCTTCTCATGATTAGACTGGGGTTTTAAGTTGTAGCGAGGAAGACAACACCTATAATAGAATATAAAGCCCAGCAGTGTTACCAGTTGCTGTGTCAGATCATCTCAGAAAGCTTTAGGATGTATCATTTAATAGTTACACAACTTGTCAGGCTTCTTGAATCCCTTAAAAAGTTATTTGCAAACCCTATGTCTGCTTTTTTTCTGGCGCAAGAGCCTCTAAATTTCTTCAGATCCTTGAAAGTGCATACAGCCTAGCCCATTGTAGAAGCTCAGCTCTACATGGTCCTTCTTCCTCTGAATGCTTCTGGATTTAAAACTTAAGAGAAACCTAAATATTAAAACAAAAATGCATTTCAGTCACATAGAAACCATTTCCTTCTCTGCTTTTATCATCAATATCCGTGAAGTCGATAGCCTCAGTATTTTCTAAGGACACTCTTTAGGACTCAGGGCTGGTGTGTGCGTGTGTGCACTCAACACACCGCACACACTTGAGGATCTCAAGCAGTATAGATTTTGGGACTTAAATTTAGTAAAAATCTCAAACGTCAGCACATTAAATGACAAAGAAATGGTACCTGGCTATTCGAGTGATTAACATTCCTTTTCTGTTATTATTTTATTAAAATATCTAAGGAGAAGTAGAATAAAAATGAATTCAGTAGTTTTCAGTTTTCAAAACTAAAACATTATCTAGGTCCCCTTTAGACTTTTTGTACATAATTTATGAATTTACTGACAAGCGAATTATTTTTATCAAAATATTGAAATTTCTAAAAAAACCCCAAATACTGAAATTTCTAATTGCACAATCTGTAACTACAACAGGTTCTTCTTGCAAAACGGAAACTGGATGGAAAATTTTATGCTGTCAAAGTGTTACAGAAAAAAATAGTTCTCAACAGAAAAGAGGTAAAATAAAATAGCATTGTTTCTCCTATATTCACTTGCTCAATTAACAGAATTGTTTTCTGGTATATAATGCAAGTTGATCCTTTACTTTTTTTTTTTTACAGCAAAAACATATCATGGCTGAACGTAATGTGCTCTTGAAAAATGTGAAACATCCATTTTTGGTTGGATTACATTATTCTTTCCAAACAACTGAAAAGCTTTATTTTGTTCTGGATTTTGTTAATGGAGGGGAGGTGAGTTTTATGATTAGTTTTCTAATGTTGATAATGTTTAGAAAAAATAGAATAAAGTCACAGTTTTTCTTTGCTTAACAGTTTTTGGAAGGATAGGCCAGCATTAACAGCTATTAGATTCAAGATGCTGGCTAATAAGCACAAAGCAAGATGTAGAGAATTGTAAACAAAGCTCTTAAGCAGCTTATGGTGTGTAGGTGTGAAGATTCATAAAAGAACCTTGGTATGAAGCTACAGACTTCACAGATAATATAGCAAGAATAATATACTGAAACGTTAGAATAAAACATGATTTGTATTTAGATAATTATTGTCTCCACAGTTGCATATAAAGATTACTCTAGCCTGTCATTTTCTAAAACGTGCAAACTATAATCAGAGGAGATGATCCTCTAATAAAGAGTTCTGTGGTGAAGTCAGTTTGGAAAACGTTTCATGTTCCATCCCATTGGCAATTAACAATATGTTTCTTGGTGATTCACAGTATGTTTCAGCACGTTAAAGACTTTGAGTTCTGCCAAAGCCAAGATTTCGTTGAAAATATTTTCTTAGCATGCAGTCCCTTTTTGTTTGAACCAAATCTGTTAATAATACTCCCCAAAACTCTAATCAGAGGGATATTGAAATACATTTTGGAAAATGCTACTGTCATGATAATAATTATAGTAATAGCTAACATGCATGAAGTATACTTATGTGCCCAGCATTCTGGATCTTTATATGTATTATTTTCACAACAGTCATGTTTTATAAGATAAAGAAACTGAGGCACAGAGAAGCTAGGTAAGTTGCTCAAGGCATGTGGTTAATAAGTATTAGAGGCAGGAATTGAACTCAGGCAGTGTGATTCCAGGATTTAGGCAGTGGACCACCCCTGTTCTTCTCGTTCTCAATCCTCACACCTTTCTAATTTGTTTGATCTCTGATCTGTGAATGTCTCTAAAAATTATTCTCATAGATTGTGTCCTGTCTTTACAAAGGGATCTTTCATCCCCTAGTCCCAGATCAGAGAGAGAGGAAAAGTTATTTCGAAAAGTTATTTCAACCTTAATATAGTATACTTAACTGTAGAATAAAGGAAGATACTGTCTATTCTGCAAACCTGAAAGATGGTCAGACACACCTAGATAATTTGCGGGAAGATCATTAAAAGAATCATCATACAACCCCCTACATCTATATGACAAAAATGCCATATGCCCCCTCAGTGTAGAGGCAAAACTTTGAAGGCTGAAGATTTGAGGTTGTCATTTTATTTTGTGTGTACATGAGTGCTAACATATAATGAGAATTTATTGAGGGCCTGACACTGTGTAATTATTTTTCCTGCATTATTTCAATTAATCATTATAACTCTTTGAGATAAATACTCTTCTAAGGCTCAGAGAGGTTAGGTAACTTTCTCAATGTCACCATGTTTTCTAGTAAGTGTCAGGTCCTGGATTTAACCTGGACCCGAGTACCAATCTGTGACTTTGAAATGTCCTGCAAGGCATTAACTGCAGATGAGATCCTGTTGCGAGCTTCCTGCTTTGTCTGTGGTTTCTTCATCTTGTTTTAGGACCTTGCTTCTGAGCCCTTTTTATACAGTGATCTCTCATAAACTGAGTAGCAAAGGTGGAAACATGTAGGCTTGTATTCTAAAAGATAGACTTGGCTAAGATAATGGGGAATAAAAAGAATGGAATAGAATGTTGGGGTTGGTGGAGGAGGAGCTGAATGGGGCAGTAATAGAAGGGCAATAAAGATGAGAAAGGACAGAGAGAGGTAGGAATATAATTTCATTATGGGTTTCCTGTTATTTTTACTAGTACTGTCCCCCTGACTTTCTTTTTTTTGTTAATTTAAATTCAATTAGGCAACATATAGAACACTGTTAGTTTCAGATGTAGAGTTCAGTAATTCATCAGTTGCATAGTCCCTCTGATTTTCATACAACATTTTAACCTTGACATGTGTACTTATTTGATATGATACTAGACATTTACACAAGCCCTCCTGAACCTCAGCTTCCTCATTAATTTTCTGCCTCAAACTACTTGGGTAGATTAAATAATACAAACATATAAAGTCCTCAGCATGGTGCCTTTGATTTAGTAAACAGTGTTAGCTATCATTGATGAATGGTCATGTTTTCATTTGGGGTAGTTTTCATTAATATTATATTGGATAGATGTGATCAGATCAATAACTAGAATATTACAGTAGTATAAGCTAATAAAGGCAATAGTAGGGCTAAACAGGAGGGAGTATTCAGAAATGATTAAAAGATAAAAACAGAAGAATTTATTCAATCGTTAGATATAGAGCCTAAGGGTAAAGGAGCAGTCCAGATGAATCCCAGGCCAGCCTCCATGTCCCTACTCTGTCAGGATCTATTATAACTGATCTTCACCATAACCTTTCAGAAGAGGTTAAGAAAAATTGGGGGACAATTTTTGTAAGTCAGAGAAGTTAAATGAATTGCACACAAAAAGAGAAGAATCAGGATTTGAATCCAAGTCTGATCAGCTTTAAAACCGGACTCTTCTCACTGTACCTTGTTGCGTCCCATGGCTCAGAGGGCTGGGTAGAAAGTGATGTCATTAAAGGATAGAATATAGCCATAGTAGCAGTAAATCTGTAAAAGAAGACAAGGGGCTCTGTTCTAGACAAGTTGAATTTGTTGGCTTGTGAAATATTCAATAAAGAGCGGTAGGCAGCAAGTCTTTGCAGGAGAAGCTCCAAGCAGAGGTGTAGGTGGGGTATGTCCACATGAAAGACATCGACATAGAGGTGGTTAAAATCACTGGATGGATTAGGTTACCTGGACAGGGTATCCGGAGAAAGAATAACAGTGGAGAAACTGAGGACAGACACCTCGCTATCCCTGCAGTGTAAGGGGCTGGAAAGGAGCCGATAGGGAACTCTCCAGGGAAGGAGAAGCCCTAAGGCGAGATCTTTGTTTTAGAAGCCCGGAAACTTAGAGTAAGGACCTAGGGCAAACTTCACCCAGGCAGGTAAACCTAATGAGTAAAGGACAGGTAGTAAGAAATAAAATACGATTTCAGGAGTATAGGAAATGAACTGGAGAGCCCACCCGCTGCTCAGCCCTGGCCATTTGCTACCACACTGGAATTTAGGCTTAATGTTGCAGAGCTTCCTTTTTTTTTCCCCCAGAAGAAACCAAACCTGAATTTTTACCAAAAAATTTCTCCATCTTTAAATGTTACCAGTTAATTTAGATTTTTTCTAAAAACAGTGTTTGGCTCAAACACATTTTATCTGTGGGTTATATTTGGTCTGTCAGCCACTTGTTTCCAATCTCTGAATAGTGGTGTTTTTTTGTTTTGTTTTGTTTTTCCCAAGTGAAACCACAGTCAAAGAGCTAGTGAGAGACCTTATTGACTCCATGGCAATATCCAGATCATCGGTCTGGATTGATAATCTTTTCCAGAGGGGTAAGGACACAGCCACACCGGGGATTGAGGAGTAAATGAGAGATGAGCAAGTTCAAGTTAGCAAGGATAGAGAAACATGTGTGGTTAAAGAGAGAATGATTGCGAGGTGGGGGACACAAAGGAGAGTCACAGTTCTGTGCTTTGGTGCATTTTTATCTCATGTTCAGAGTAAAAAAAATCCTGTTTTTGTATTTATAGGATATATTTGTTTCACTTTGTGTGAATGATCTTAATACCCATTTCTTTTTCCATTTTACAGCTGTTTTTCCACTTACAGAGAGAACGGTCCTTTCCCGAACACAGAGCTAGGTTTTATGCTGCTGAAATTGCCAGTGCATTGGGTTATTTGCACTCCATCAAAATAGTGTACAGGTACATTTTAATATATTTCTTGTAAAAACGTCTTTTTTTATTACTTTGTTCCAGTTAATACTCAGTTTTGCTTTTCTTTCCTTTTAATTTCATAGAGACTTGAAACCAGAAAATATTCTTTTGGATTCAGTAGTAAGTATTATCTTTTAAAAATCAACCAATTCTCAATTTAATTGTTGTTATGCTTGGTGGAAAAAAGGCAGCCTCAAAGGTTCCACACCGCATCATTCCATTTATGTAACATTCTCCAAATGACAGAACTGGAGAGATGGAAAACAGATGAGTGGTTGCAAGTGGTTTCTGCAATGACAGTTTCAGCATAGGGTAGGGGAGTACAAAAATAAAGGGGTAGTGTGAGTTCCTTAGTTTCTTTGGGGTGGTGGGTAGTTTTCTATCTTGATGGTAGCAGTAGTGACATAGATCTGCACGTCTCTATTGCATAGAACCACACATAATACACACAAATGCATATGTGTGAAAAAAAAACAGTGAAAACTGAATAAAATGGACAGTCTGGTTAACAGTATTCTACCATTCCTGATTTTGATATTTTCTTACAGTTATATAAGGTATCAGCATTAGGAAAAGCTGGGTGAGGGGTACACAAAACTCTGTGTACTATTTTTGCAATTTCATGTGGGTCTATAATTATTTCAAAGTGAAATGGTTTTAAAAATTGTCAGCTTATGCCCATGCGTTGTTTTATCTTACTGCCCCTCTGTTTGTCAGGGACATGTTGTCTTAACAGATTTTGGGCTTTGTAAAGAAGGAATTGCTATATCTGACACGACAACAACATTTTGTGGGACACCAGAGGTAAGAAATAGGTTTCATTTGTTGTTTATATAATCATGTGTAAAATGCAAAAATGAATCACGAAGTGCAAATACAATATTCGAAATCAGAAAAGTAGAATAAAACTCATTTCAGAAAGCTTTTAGCTACTTGTATATATCTGATAATCATCCCTTCAGAACATTTAAAGTTTATTGATAGTATTTTTAATTGTGATTGTAGGCTACCACAGATAACCCAAAAAAGATATAAATTATGCTTGGGTTTTTTTTTGTTTTTTTTTAGATTTTATTTAGATTCAAGTTAGTTAACATGTCGTGTATTATTAGTTTCAGGGGTAGAATTTAGTGAGTCATCAGTTGCGTATAACACCCAATGCTCATTACATCAAGTGCCCTCTTTATTTTTGCGTATAACACCCAATGCTCATTACGTCAAGTGCCCTCTTTATTTTTTTTTAATTTTTTGAAGATTTTATTTATTTATTTGACAGAGAGAGAGAGAGAACACAAGTAGGCAGACTGGCAGACAGAGGGAGAGGGAGAAGCAGGTTCTCCACTGAGCAGGGAGCCCGATGCAGGGCTCGATCCCAGGACCCTAGGATCATGACCTGAGCCGAAGGCAGCCGTTAACCAACTGAGCCACCCAGGCGGCCCAAGTGCCCTCTTTAATGTTCCTCACCCAATTACCCCATCCCACCATATGCTTATTTGTTTTTAATGTTAAAAGTTTACCTTAGACTTTTTAAAGCATTTGATTAGATTTCTGATCCTTTAAAAATCACCAATCAACAATGAAGAATATACTAAAATTGTAATGTTTACCCCACTCTAAATATACTAATAGCCTTTGAAGTACTCACTTTAGAATGAGTAAATTGCATGGTATATGAGTATCTAAATAAAAAGCTTTTTTTTAATAAGCTAAATCAAATATGGCAAAATACTGACATTGCCTATAATTAGTGGCAGCTATATATTGGTTTCTGTTTTCTCTTTTTATGTGTGATGAAAATACTTTATAATAAAATTAACCATTCATTTAACAGAAGAAAGGAAAGCAATGGATGTGGAGGAAAGAAAACCGTAAGTCAGGGCGCTTAGGTGGCTCAGTAGATTAAGCATCTGCCTTCAGCTCAGGTCATGATCCCAGGGTCCTGGGGTTGAGTCCCACATCAGGCTCCCTGCTCAGCAGAGAGTCTGCTTCTTCCTCTGCCTGCCATTCCCCCTGCTTGTGCTCTCTCGCTCTCTCTCTGTCAAATAAATAAATAAAATCTTAAAAAAAAAAAAAAAAAAAAGAAAACCACAAGTCAGAATTAATCAGAACATCTCATCCTCTACTCATGTTAGCTAGCAGAAAATGTAACCTTCCATTTGAGACAATAATAATAATCTTTACAAGTTATGTTAAAGCCTTGTTATTCTCCCTACACACATACACATTTTGTTTATTTTAAACTATCCTAATTTTAGTATATTTATAGTGATCTTAGAAGCCAGGTAGTATCTCATCTTTTTTTTTTTTTTTTTAAGATTTTATTTATTTATTTGACAGAGACAGAGAGAAGGAACACAAGCAGGGGTAGTGGGAGAGGGAGAAGCAGGCTTCCCCCAGAGCAGGGAGCCCGATGCAGGGCTCAATCCCAGGACCCTGGGATCATGACCTGAGCGAAGGCAGATGCTTAACGACTGAGCCACCCAGGCGCCCCGTATTTCATCTTTTTGTAGAGTAATTGCAAATATCATGATGAAATGTGTGATAAAATGGCTCATATGAGACTTTTAATCAATGTCAGAAAAGTTAAAAATAATTAAAAGTAAAAATACTTTGAAATGTTTTTTTTTCCTTCCTTTTTCTAATCCACCCCTAGCTCTTAGATATATTTGTAACCATTCTAGTTTGGTTTGTTTATGAAGAAACATTTTTTTTGTGAATGTATATTGAGTTTTTTGAATATGGATACATTTTTATGTAAATTATATCTCCTTTAAATTGAATTTTTTTTAATTTTTATTTTTTATTTAAATTCAATTAACCTATAATGTATTATTAATTTCAGAGGTAGAGTTCAGTAATTCATCAGTCTTACATAATACCCTGTGCTCATTACATCATGTGCCCTCCATAATGTTCATCACCCGGTTACCCCATCCCCCCACCACCTTCCCTCCAGCAACTCTCAGTTTGTTTCCTGTGATTAAGAGTCTCTTATGGTTTATCTCCCTCTCTGATTTCTTCTTGTTTTATTTTTTCCTCTCTTCCCCTCTGATCTTCTGTTTTGTTTCTTAAATTCCACATATGAGTGAGATCATACGATAACTGTCTTTCTCTGAGTGACTTATTTCGCTTACCATGATACCCTCTAGTTCTATCCACATCGTTGCAAATGGCAAGATTTCATTTCTTTGATGACTGAGTAGTATTCCTTTGAATATATATACATCACATCTTCTTTATCCATTCATCTGTCAATGGACATCTGGGCTCTTTCCATAGTTTGGCTATTGTGGACAGTGTTGCTATAAACATTGGGGTGCAGGTGCCCCTTCGGATCACTACCTTTGTATCTTTGGGGTAAATACCCAGTAGTACAATTGCTGGGTCATAGGGTAGCTCGATTTTCAACGTTTTGAGGAACCTCCATACTGTTTTCCGGAGTGACTGCACCACCTTGCATTCCCATCAGCAGTGTATGAGGGTTCCCCTTTCTCCACATCCTCACCAAAATCTGTCATTTCCTGAGTGGTTATTTTAGCCATTCTGACTGGTGTGAGGTGGTATCTCATTGTGGTTTTGATTTGTATTTCCCTGATGCCGAGTGATGTGGAACATTTCTTTCATGTGTCTGTTGGCCATTTGGATGTCTTCTTTGGAGAAATGTCTGTTCATGTCTTCTTCCCATTTCTTGATTGGATTATTTGTTCTTTGGGTGTTGAGTTTGATAAGTGCTTTATAGATTTTGGATACTAGCCCTTTATCTGATATGTCATTTGCAAATATCTTCTCCCATTCTGTTGGTTGTCTTTTGGTTTTGTCGACCGTTTACTTTGCTGTGCAAAAGCTTTTTATCTTGATGAAGTCCCAAAAGTTCATTTTTACTTTTGTTTCCCTTGCCTGTGGAGACGTGTCTAGCAAGACGTTGCTACAGCCGAGGTCACAGAGGTTGCTGCCTGTGTTCTCCTCTGGGATCTTGATGGATTCCTGTCTCACATTTAGATCTTTCATTCATTTTGAGTCTATTTTTGTGTGGTGTAAGAAAATGGTCCACTTTCATTCTTCTGCATGTGGCTGTCCAATTTTCCCAACACCATTTGTTGAAGAGACTTTTTTCCATTGGACATTCTTTCCTGCTTTGTTGAAGATTAGTTGACCATAGAGTTGAGGGTCCATTTCTGGGCTCTCTATTCTGTTCCATTGATCTATGTGCCTGGTTTTGTGCCAGTGCCATACAGTCTTGATGATTACAGCTTTGTAATAGAGCTTGAAGTCTGGAATTGTGATGCCACCAGCTTTGCTTTGCTTTTTCAACATTCCTCTTGCTATTCGGGGTCTTTTCTGGTTCCATACGTATTTTAGGATTATTTGTTCCATTTCTTTGAAAAATGTTGATGGTACTTTGATAGGGATTGCATTAAATGTGTAGATTGCTCTAGGTAGCATTGACATCTTCACAATATTTGTTCTTCCAATTCATGAGCATGGAAGGTTTTTCCATTTCTTTGTGTCTTCCGCAATTTCTTTCATGAGTACTTTATAGTTTCCTGAGTACAGATCCTTTGCCTCTTTGGTTAGGTTTATTCCCAAGTATTTTATGGTTTTGGGTGCAATTGTAAATGGGATCGACTCCTTAATTTCTCTTTCTTCTGTTTCATTGTTAGTATATAGACAAACAACTGATTTGTGTGCATTGATTTTATATCCTGCCACTTTACTGAATTCCTGTATGAGTTCTACCAGTTTTGGGGTGGAGCCTTTTGGGTTTTCCACATAAAGTATCATATCATCTGCAAAGAGTGAGAGTTTGACTTCTTTGCCGTCAGATGCCTTTTATTTCTTTTTGTTGTCTGATTGCTGTGGCTAGGACTTCTAGTACTCTGTTGAATAGCAGTGGTGATAGTGGACATCCCTGCCATGTTCCTGACCTTAGTGGAAAAGCTCTGTTTTTCCCCATTGAGAATGATGTTCGCTGTGGGTTTTTCATAGATGGCTTTTATGATATTGAGGTATGTTCCCTCTATCCCTACACTGTGAAGAGTTTTAATCAAGGATGCTGTACTTTGTCAAATGTTTTTTCTGCATCTGTTGAGGGGATCATATGGTTCTTGTCCTTTTATTAATGTGTAGTGTATCACATTGATTTGCAGAGGTTGAACCACCCTTGCAGCCCAGGAATAAATCCCACTTGGACATGGTGAATAATCCTTTTAATGTACTGTTGGATCCTATTGGCTAGGCTTTTGGTGAGAATTTTTGCATCCATGTTCATCAAGGATATTGGTCTGTAATTCTCCTTTTTGGTGGGGCCTTTGTCTGATTTGGGGATCAAGGTAATGCTGGCCTCATAAAATGAGTTTGGAAGTTTTCCTTCCATTTCTATTTTTTGAAACAGTTTCAGAAGAATAGGTATTAATTCTTCTTTGAATGTTTGATAGAATTCCCCTGGGAAGTCATCTGGCCCTGGACTCTTGTTTGTTGGGAGATTTTTGATTACTTCTTCCAATTTCCTTGCTGGTTATGGGTCTGTTCAAGTTTTCTATTTCTTCCTGGTTCAGTTTTGTACCTTATACATCTCTAGGAATGCATCCATTTCTTCCAGATTGCTTAATTTGTTGGCATGTAGTTGCTCATAGTATGTTCTTATACTTGTTTGCATTTCTTTGGTGTTGGTTGTGATCTCTCCCCTTTCATTCATGATTTTATTTATTTGGGTCCTTTCTTTTTCCTTTTTGATAAGTCTGGCCAGGGGTTTATCAATCTTATTAATTCTTTCAGAGAACCAGCTCATAGTTATATTAATCTGTTATACTGTTCTTTTGGTTTCTATTTCATTGATTTCTGCTCTAATCTTTATTATCTTCTCCTGCTGGATTCAGGCTTTAACTGCTGTTCTTTCTCCAGCTCCTTTAGGTGTAGGGTTAGGTTGTGTATTGGAGACCTTTCTTGTTTCTTGAGAAAGGCTTGTATTGCCATATACTTCCTCTTAGGACTGCCTTTGCTGCATCCCAAAGATTTTGAACAGTTGTGTTTTCATTTTCATTTGTTTCCATGAATTTTTTAAATTCTTCTTTAATTTTTTGGTTGACCTATTCCTTCTTTAGTAGGATGGTCTTTGAGTATTTGAGTTCTTTCCAAATTTCCTCTTATGATTGAGTTCTAGTTTCAAAGCATTATGGTCTGAAAATATGAAAGGAATGATCCCAGTCTTTTGGTACCAGTTGAGACCTGATTTTCGACCCAGTATGTGATCTATTCTGGAGAATGTTCCATGTGCACTCAAGAAGAATGTGTATTCTGTTACTTTAGGTTGGTATGCTCTGAATATATCTGTGAAGTCCATCTGGTCCAGTGTGTCATTCAGAGCCCTTGTTTCCTTGTTGATCTTTTGTTTAGATGATCTGTCCATTGCAGTGAGTGGGGTGTTAAAGTCCCCTACTGTTATTGATGTGTTTCTTTAATTTTGTTATTAATTGGTTTATATAATTGGTTTCTCCCATGTTAGAGGCATAAATATTTACAATTGTTTGCTCTTCTTGTTGGATAGACCCTTTAATTATATTGTATCCTTCCTCATCTTTTATTACAGTCTTTGGTTTAAAATGTAATTTGTCTGATATAAGGATTGTTACCTTAGCTTCTTTTGATGTCCATTAGCATAATAAATGGTTTTCCAGCCCCTCACTTTCAATCTGGAAGTGTCTTTGGGTCTAAAATGAGTTTCTTGCAGACAGAATATCAATGGGTCTTGCTTTTTATCCAATCTGATACCCTATATCTTTTGATTAGGGCAGTTAGCCCATTTACATACAGAGTAACTGTTGAAAGATTTGAATTTAGTGCCATTGTATTACCTGTAAAGTCACTGTTTCTGTATATTGTCTCTGTTCCTTTCTGGTCTATGTTACTTTTGGGCTCTCTCTTCGCTTAGAGCATCCCTTCTAATATTTCTTGTAGGGCTGGTTTGGTGATCACAAATTCTTTGATTTCTGTTTGTCCTGGAAGCTCTCTATCTCTCCTTCTATTTTGAATGACATCCTTGCTGGATAAAGTATTCTTGGCTGCATATTTTTCTTGGTTAGTACCCTGAATATATCATGCCAGTTCTTTCTGGCCTGCTAGGTCTCTGGATAGGTCTGCTGCCATTCTAATGTTTCTACCCTTGTAGGTTACAGAGCTCTTGTCCCGAGCTGCTCTCAGGATTTCCTCCTTGTCTCTGAGATTTTGCAAGTTTCACTGTTATATGTCGAGGTGTTCACTTATTTTTACTGATTTTGAGGGGACTTGTCTGTGCCTTCTGAACTTGAATGCCGGCTTCCTTCCCCAGGTTAGGGAAGTTCTCCACTATAATTTGCTCCAGTATACCTTCTGCTCCCCTCCCTCTCTTTTTCTTCTGGGATCCCAAATATTCTAATACTGTTTCACGTTATGGTATCACTTATCTCTGATTCTCTCCTTGTGATCCAGTAGTTGTTTATCTTTCTTTTTCTCAGCATCTTTATTCTCCATAATTTTGTTTTCTATATCACTCATTCTCTCTTCTGCCTCATTTATCTTAGCAGTTAGGGCCTCCATTTTTTATTGCATCTCATTAATAGACTTTTTTATTTTGACTTGATTAGATTTTAGTTCTTTTATTTCTCCAGAAAGGGATTCTCTAGTGTCTTCTATGCTTTTTTCAAGCCCAGTATCTTTTTTATAATCATTATGCTGAATTCTAGTTCTAATATCTTACTTAATGTCCATACTGATTAGGTCCCTGGCAGTCAGTACTGCCTCTTGTTCTCTTTGTTGAGGTGAGTTTTTCCATCTTATCATTCTGTCCAGAGAAGAATAGATGAACAAGAGAACAAAATACTAAAATGGCAACAATGACCCCAGAGAAATATACACTAAATAAATCAGAAGAGACCTGAAACAAAAACAAAAACAAAAATTAAAAAAAGAGAGAAAATAATCAACCAGGTGAACAGAACAGAGAAATACACTGGATCCTGTGGGTATTTTGGTCTGTTTGTTAGAAGAAACTGCATCCCAAAATTGTAAAGAAAGAAAAACATACACACACACATACAAATAAAATTAAATACAAAAAGGATAGAATGTAAGTGTAAAAATGAAAATTAAAAAAGATTTTTTAAAAAGCTGATAAAATGGGGTGCCTGGGTGGCTCAGTCAGTTAAGCGTCTGCCTTTGGCTCAGGTCATGATCCCAGGGTCTTGGGATCGATCCCCATATCGGGCTCCCTGCTCAGCGGGGAGCCTGCTTCTCCCTCTCCCTCTGCCTGCTCCTCTGCCTACTTGTGTGCTCTATCTCTGTTAAATAAATAAATAAAAATCTTTGGAAAAAATTAAAAAGTTGATAAAATAAGAAATTGGTTGAAAAAGGAGTGAAAAAAATTAAAACTGAAAGACTAAAAAGTCATGGGGGGAAAAACATGTATTCTGTATACTCTTTTCCTGTAGCGCTGGAGTTTTGCAGTTCTGTGATCAGTAAACTTGGTCTTAGCTGAATGTTCTTGCTGATCTTCTGGGGGAGGAGCCTGTTGCACTGATTCTCAGGTGTCTTTGCCTGGGCAGAATTACACTGACCTTGCCAGGGGCCCAGGCTAAGTAATCTTCTTCAGATTGCTCAAGTGGCTTTTGTTCCCTGAAGGCTTTCCAGGCTGCTTTAGAGGATGAGAATGAAAATGGTGGCCTCCCAGTCTCCCTACAATCTCCCTACCCGGAGCCAAAAGCTGGGGGCCCACTCCTCAGTGCACCTTCAGGGAAAAGCAGTCACTCCTGTCTCCCTGGTCTTCCGCCGCACTCCTTGCTCACCCAGCCTGTGACTGAGCATTTCTATCTCAGGCACGTGACTAGGTTTCGAGTCTCCAAATTCTGCAAGCTGCTGCGTCACGCACTCATGCCACTCCTCCAGGGGGAGGCGGAGGGGGTCTCGCAGAGGTTCTACCACTTGCTGGGCTCCCTGGACCATGCCTGGGTTTGCGGTATATGGCAACCCTGAGCTCAGAGCCCACTCCTGAGCTGAGAGCCCATTCCTGGGCTCGCTGATTGCCGCTGGCTTCCCCATTCCAATGCCTGGGAGCTGTGCCCCACTCAGGCACCCGCCGTCTTCCTGTGACCCTTGGGATCCTCATTCCAACCTAGGATTCCACCCCATTTCACCACCTGAGCACCTTTCAAGCAGGGACATCCCTCTCCGGAGCAGACTTCTAAAAGTTCTGATTTTGTGCTCACTGGTCTGTTACTTTCCGGTGCTGGCCAAGGGAGGCTCCCTCCACCCACGGTTTATCTTCCCATATATCCGCTCGGATTCACTTCTCCGTACCTCCTCCTTTACAGAAAGTGGCCGCTTTTCTATTTGTAGAGTTGCGGCTATTCTTTTCTTAGATCTCCAGTTGAGTTTGCAGGTGTTCAGAATGATTTGATAGCTACTAGCTGAATTCCTGCGGCCAGGTCAAACTAAGGCCTCCTGTTCCTCCGCCATCTTGGACTATCTTGAATGTATATCGATTGTATAATTATCAAAATCTTTTTTTTAAAAGAATTTTTTAATTTATTCATTTGAGACAGATACAGAGCGAGAGAGAGAGAGCAGGAGCAGTGGGGTGAGCAGAAGAAGAGGGAGAAGCAGACTCCCTTTTGAGCAGGGAGCCCACTGCGGGTATCGATCCCAGGACCTGGAGATCATGACCTGAGCCAAAGGCAGATGCTTAACCATCTGAGCCACCCAGGCGCCCCAAGTTATCAAAATCTTTAAGTCCTGTAGTTTTAAGAGAAGAAACACAAGTTTTTTTGGTCATCTAAATCGAAATGTAATCAGAAATTACTAAACCCTTTTAATATATTTTGCCATTTTTTGGGATCACATTTAAAAAAAAAAAAGCCTAAGAAGAAATTATTTCCTTACTTCATATGGGAAGAGAAAATATATATTTTGCAATCTTGAATTCAAATTCACCATTTTATATGTGTGAAATTGTTTAAATGTTTTACAAATAAAATGTGCATAGCCATCTAATAACTTACACTTTTCTAAATAATATGTTAGAGAATTATATAGTAATTACAGTAATTACTATGGTAATTAATAATAGTTACTATTATAATTCTCTAATAACAATGCAATTCACATTCTTTTTTCTTTAAATGAAGGCGGAAAATTGGATTATAATTGCCACATTAAAAATTCTTTCTTCAAGAGAAGCAATTATGAGTAATGATCAGAGGAATTTCTAAAATAAATTAATCTTGTGAAAGACTCTCCCTGCCCCCCCCAGCCCAATACCTAGTTTACATAGTATTACAGATTTCTGATTTGTTGTCCTCTTCTGTTTGCCCTAATTGCATCACAGTTTGTGGGGGGAAGTGCTTGAATATGTGTATTTTGAAAAATGTGCCACATGATTCTGAAGAATACTACTGCTTGAGAACCCCTGGTGTAGGATGAGCATACCCAACCAATTAAAAATCTAGATAATATGTTTTTAGCATCATACTAACATCTTAAATTTGTTAAATTTCTTAATTATTCCTAAATTTTATCATGAATTGTTTATTGAGTTGATCTAATATTTAATGTTTTCCATAGTACCTTGCTCCTGAAGTAATCCGAAAACAGCCCTATGACAATACTGTAGATTGGTGGTGCCTTGGTGCTGTTCTCTATGAAATGCTGTATGGATTGGTATGTATTTCTGCTCTCTCATTATTGTTCCAATATATTTTCATTATTTTGAGTTGTCTGTCTTTTTTAATAATCCCGAGGACTCTTAGATAACACTGATTGAGTAATAGTAGTAACCTGGTTAAATGAATCCAGAATCACATTGGGGATATACACAAAAGGAAAAACTTTTCCTTTGTTACTGTCTTTTAACGTAATTTTTTTTTCTCTGTCTTACTAATCACTACTTACACTAATCAGTAGTCTCATCCAACTTGGCATTTTTTAGAAATAGACACTAGCTATAACATTAATATTATTCACTTCCATACAGTTTACTTGTCATCATTCTGCCCAATTTCAAAAAGATGGAAAGAAAAAGATTTTTGTATTAATTAGAAGATCATATCTTTTGGGTTTTGCCTTATATTTTATTTTTATAGGATTAATACACTGGTGCTTCACTTTTTCTGCCGATAGGAAACCCTCTATTCCCTTTACCAAAAACATTACTAGATTTTATTGAAAAAAAAGGGATGTTCACTAGGAAATCACTTACCCCAGTTTTTATTAATTGAAGACACATAAGGCCAACCAGTGCTTCTGATTAACGTGTGTAAAATTGTTTTACTACAGTAATTAATATTCCAACCAGGAGTGCCTGGCTAGATCAGTTGGAGGGGCATGCGACTCTTGATCTTGGGATCTTGAGTTCGAGCCCCATGTTGGGTGTAGAGATTACTAAAAAAATAAATAAACTTTAAAAATATGTATCATTCCAACCAAAAGCAAGCAATTTAGGCACTTTGGTTAGTTTACATATTCTTATAGGACCAATTTTTCTTTATACTTTTTGAGATATTTAGAGTATTTTCTAAAGTCTTTTTGTGATCCCATGAGTGTCCAGCAGCCCCATGCTGGGGACCGTGCACTCATCACCCATGCTGCTGATCACACTAAGCTAAATACTACCATCAGCAGAGACCTGAGCTGGGGCTTGTTTTTTTGTTTGTTTGTTTGTTTTTAAAGATTTTATTTATTTATTCATGAGAGACAGAGAGAGAGAGGCAGAGGGAGAAGCAGGCTCCCAAGGAGCAGGGAGCCCGATGTGGGACTCGATCCCAGGACCCTGGGATCATGACCTGAGCCGAAGGCAGACGCTTAACCATCTGAGCCACCCAGGTGCCCGGGGCTTGTTTTTTTTAATTCACTTTTTGTTTTGTATGGGGTTCCCCCTGCCGAAAACTGGGGAGCTCTCATTGAAATCCAACGCATGAGGTGCATGTTAGAGCATTTGTCTTGTGTTGCTAACTTTGAATGATAGATTCCTATGACAACCAACACTGTCTCTTTTTTGCCCTTGCTTACTAAAAGATTTAGTGTTCTCGTTATAGTGACTTGGAATACCTGATATACACTTACTTTCTTTAAACGCTGGGTATTTGCTGTCCTGATATTTCTGAATCCTTTAAATTTCTTTAGAGGACTCTGAAAGTGGAAAATACTGTCATTGTATATAAAATGCAATTGATTCAAAAGGGAACATTTGAAACATAGATTTCACTAATGACACATATTAACTTTTTAAAAATAAAGTTTGATTTTAAAAAGTAAAAATGTTTTTCTTTCCTGTAAAAAAGAAAGTGACAAGCTATATAACTGCCTTAACTTTAAAAATTACTTTTAGTTTAAAAATTAACTCGACAATAAACTGGCTAATCCTCATGTTGAAGCTGTACAGGGCTTAGGCTGTGAATTGTAATTCTGCACAGTGCACCCATAATGCTGTCATTACCAAAAGTCTCCATCTCTACTAGAAATCTCTGTTTTAATTCACTTATTCCCAAGTCTCAAAAAATATTTAATATTTGATCTGTGTTGAGTCTGTGTGTGCAGTAATTCTTTCCGTATGCTTTTAATGAGGTTGGCGGTTTTCTCCAGAACAGATACTATGACAGCTTTTACACGGTTTATACCTGTCTGCAGTGTATTCTTGAACATTCAGTGAATGCATATTGGGCTCTGCATGGTGCTGGATTTTAAACCCTCTTCACATTGGAGACCACACTGCAGATGTACACGTGCCCACAAGGCCTGTGCATTTCTAGAACTGTCCAGACCCAGATTGATCCCTGTAGAGCAAGGCCAAATCCAACTCTTTTAACCCTATTTCAGCATAGCTTAATTAACACTATTTTCCTTTTTTCCCCTGCCAGCCTCCTTTTTATTGCCGAGATGTTGCTGAAATGTATGACAATATTCTTCACAAGCCCCTAAGTTTGAGGCCAGGAGTGAGCCTCACAGCCTGGTCCATTCTGGAAGAACTCCTAGAAAAAGACAGGCAAAATCGACTTGGTGCCAAAGAAGACTTTGTATGTATATACTTCCCAGTACCTGCTTTATTTAAGCTTATTTTAAGATTCAAAGAAAAAAAAAAAAAAATCTCATTCCTTTTGATGGCTGCATAATATTGCATTGTATATATATACCACATCTTCTTTATCCATCATCTGTCGATGGACATCTTGGCTCTTTCCACAGTTTGGCTATTGTGGACATTGCTGCTATAAACATCAGGGTGCATGTACCCCTTCAGATCCCTACATCTGTGTCTTTGGGGTAAATACCCAGTAGTGCAATTGCTGGATCATATGGTAGCTCTATCTTGCCATTTGCAACGACGTGGATGGGACTGGAGGGTATTATGCTGAGCGAAATAAGTCAAACAGAGAAAGACATGTATCATATGACCTCACTGATAATGAGGAATTCTTAATCTCAGGAAACAAACTGAGGGTTGCTGGAGTGGGGGGTGGGATGGGAGGGATGGGGTGACTGGGTGATAGACACTGGGGAGGGTATGTGCTCTGGTAAGCGCTGTGAATTGTGCAAGACTGTTGAATCTCAGATCTGTACCTCTGAAACAAATAATGCAATATATGTTAAGAAAAAAAAAAAGAAGAAGATAGCAGGAGGGGAAGAATGAAGGGGGGGAAATCGGAGGGGTAGACGAACCATGAGAGATGATGGACTCTGAAAAACAAACTGAAGGTTCTAGAGGGGAGGGTGGTGGGAGGATGGGTTAGCCTGGTGATGGGCATTAAAGAGGGCACGTTCTGCATGGAGCACTGGGTGTTATGCACAAACAATGAATCATGGAACACTACATCTAAAACTAATGATGTATGGGGATTAACATAACAATAAAAAAAATAAAAGTAAAATCAGAAAAAAAAAAAAGATTCAAAGAAAAATTCTTATTTTATGTGGCATTTACTGGGACGAATACAGCTCTTAAATAGCACCATGGAAAAGAAGCATGCTTGTCCCAGCAGTTCTCCCCAGTGTTTATAGGGTTTGAAGCACTTGCACAGGCGGCTTTTCATTTGATCTTCGTAACAGTTCGAGCCTCTCCTCCTCACCCCTCACATCCTGCTTTCACACCCTATTACTTATTTGATTTTCATTTATAAGAATTTTCCTCCCTTCTTTTTAAAAAATGTGTGGCATGCAATTTTTGGTTACCTAAACTTTTAAATCATTTTATTTAAGAATTTATTGAATGCGGGCGCCTGGGTGGCTCAGTATTAAGCGTCTGCCTTCGGCTCAGGTCATGATCCTGGAGTCCCGGGATCGAGTCCCACGTCGGGCTCCCTGCTCAGCAGGGGGTCTGCTTCTCCCTCTCCCCTCTTCCCTCTCGTGCTCTCTGTCTCTCATTCTCTCTCTCTCAAATAAATAAATAAAATCTTTAAAAAAAAAAATTTATTGAATGCCTCCTGTCTGCATGAGGTAATGCCTTTTGCCTTGAACTAACATTTAATAACTTTTTTCTTCTGAGAATTTGGTGACACCTCCCTGAGGTAATTATAGAATCTACAGGTTTGTTTGGTTTTTTAAAAAATCGGGGTAATTAAGAGTGCCTGGCTGGCTCAGTAAATGGAGTGTGTGACTCTTGATCTCTGGGTTGTGGGTTTGAGTCCCACAATGGGTGTAGCAATTACTTAAAAATAAAAAACCCTTAAAAAAAAATCAGAGTAACTAAATTGCTTGTGTAGCCACTGGTGTTATGTTCACATGTCAGTAAATTCATGAACTATTGGGGAACATGAACTTTTACTTTTTTTTAAAGGTTTTATTTTATTTATTTGACAGAGAGCGACACAGCGAGAGAGGGAACACAAGCAGGGGGAGTGGGAGAGGGAGAAGCAGGCTTCCCGCGGAGCAGGGAGCCCGATGCAGGGCTTGATCCCAGGACCCTGGGATCATGACCTGAGCTGAAGACAGACGCTTAATGACTGAGCCACCTAGGCGCCCTGGGGAACATGAACTTTTAAATTCACTTAAATCTCCCACAAATTCAGGATGTCTGCGTGGCTCAGTCGGTTAAGCATCTGCCTTCGGCTCAGGTCATGATCCCGGGGTCCTGGGATTGAGCCCCACATCAGGCTCCCTTCTCAGCGGGAAGTCACTTCACCCTCTACCTCTGCCCGTCCCCCTACTTGTGCACTCTCTCTTACTCTCAAATAAATATATAGAATCTTTAAACAAAAAAATTTCTCACAAATTCTTGGGGCCTGTTTATCAGTCATGAACTTAAACCTGAATGACAAACTTGTCTGCACTGCTTTTCCCCTCCCACACTCCCCAGTTTAGTAGGTCGCTCTCTCAACAGCTTTCCGTCTAGCTTGGATTTATTCCATAGTCCTTTGTTTCATTTAGTCTTGTTAATACTTCACACCTTCTTGCCCCTTGGTCCTTTTATGCATTTCAGTGGCAGAAATCCCAACCCTGGCTGAATCCTGGTTATCATCTTCTGGGCTGCTGAATAGTGCTGAAGAAGGTTGTAGCACCGGGCATATTGGAAGCACTGTGAAGTCCCAGTCACTAATCTCTGTGCTTCCCCACTGCCTGGTGATGCTCTGTGTTTCTGTAGCTGCTTCTCCTACTCTCTGTACTAACCATTTCAGATGTTCTCCAAATTTCCAGACTCCTTTTCTTCTTCTTCACTTATAGCAGATGATCTTGCCTTCTCTTTTATAGGGAAAATAGAATCAGCCTCAGTCTCACTGTCAGATTTGCAGACCTAACACGCACCTGCTCCCTGTCATTTCCCTCTTTCTAATGTAGTGGAAAAGGCCAGTTTCCACCTCTGCCCTGGATCCCGACTTCTCATGGGGAACCCTGTGCATGCTTTTTTTCTGCACAGAAAACTGCTTCCTTTTGTTAGGGGTCCTTCCAATCAATAATTAAACATTATCAAGTCTGTTGCTTCTTAAACCAAAACCCCTCAACCATGCTGTCCTGCCAGGTAATACTTTTTCCCTTCACAGCCAAACTTGTTAAAAGTTTCTGTACTCATTTTTTCTTTCTCAATTTCCTCTCATTTCTCAGTTTACCAAAAATAGCTACTAGAATTGCTGAATCAGGGGACCTGGGTGGCTCAGTCAGTTAAGCATCTGCCTTTGGCTCAGTTCATTACCCCGGGGTCCTGGGATTGAGTCCCACATTGGGCTCCTTGCTCAGTGGGGAGTCTCTTTCTCCCTCTGCCTGCCGCTCCCCCTGCTTGTCCTCACACTCTCTCTTTCTCTCTCTGACAAATAAAATCTTTAAAAAAATAAAAATAAACTTCCAACACTCTTGTTCCATAGGCTTCCGCAAGATCCCACAGTCATCTCATGCTTTCCTTTCTGTATTTCTGGGCCCTCTTCTGTAATGTCCTGTGTAAGCTCCTTTCTTCAACCTGTTGGTTAAGTGTTGTGGTTCCTTGTGGTTGTCCTAAACCCTCTTTCCTTCTTCTGTGCCTCTCTTCCTTGACAGTCTCAATTGGCCCAATGGCTTTGGTTCTCTATGTCTTCATCTCACGTTTATAACTCCAGTCCAGACCTCTCTTCTGAACTCGGGACAATGGGATATCTGCCTATTCAGCACCACCCTTTGGATTTCTGGAGAGAACTTCAAACATAGCATGTTCAAAATTGAACTCCTACCATTTTCCTTTTTTGTGCCTTAGGTCAGAAATCTGAGTCATTCTTGACTTCTCGTTCTTCCTTACTTCCATATTCAATAGACAGCCAGATCTTATTGTATTTGCCTCCTAAATCTTTCCCACAACCACACGCTTTTCTACTCCCACTGTGATTACTCTTTTTCTGCCATTCTCAACTTATTTTTTTTTTAAAGATTTTATTTTTAGGTAATCTCTACATCCAACGTGGGGCCCAAACACACAAGCCTGAGATCAAGAGTCACGGCTCCACAAACTGAGCCAGCCAGGCACCCTTACCATTTTGAGCTTGTGTTTGGCCACAACAATAGCTATTTTTCCTTCATTTGTTCATGGCTTTCCAGTCCATTTCCCTATGACAGTCCAAGTGGTCTTAAACAAGAAACCAAAAATCCCCCATATTTGTGACATTCCTAAAATTCCCTCATGACTTCTCATAATCCTAGAATAAAATCCGAAATTCTTAATGTAGACCCAATATGATATGGCCTGTTTGCCTCACAGGCTTCCCCTTGTGTGACAGGCCCAATCCTTTCCTGTACTGCAACAATATTTGACTCATTTTCTTGATCCAACTAACCTCTTTGCCACCTCAGGACCTTCGTATTTTGCCTGGAATGTTCTCCCCCTCATTTTTTATATGACTAACTTTTACTCACCTTTCAGACCTCTGATCAAACATTACTTCATCTCCAGAAAGTCTTTTTAGACCCACCAAACTAGGTTGGATCCTACTTTACACGCTCTTGTGTCACCTTGCAGGGAAAATAACTGGAATTGATACTCTGCCAGCTTTTGATCATACTAACCCAGAATAGAATTTTTTTTTTCTTGGTACAGTAACTTATCAGTTTGATTTTACCTCTGCCCCACTGTGTAAAAAAACTCTTACCTAACTTCTCTTTCACCTCTTCCATTCAGATAATAATTACAATTCTTTGTGCCTATGTAGTGCCTTATTTTTTTTTTTTAAAGATTTATTTATTTATTTATTTGAGAGAGAGAGAGCACAGAGGGGAGGGACACAGGGAGAGGGAGAGAGAGCCTTAAGCAGACTCTGTGCTGAGCGCAGAGCCCAATGCGGGGCTTGATTCCATGACCCTGAGATCACAGCCTGAGCCGAAACCAGGAGTTGGACGCTTAACTGACGGCGCCACCCAGGCACCTTGTGCCTTATTCTTTTCATGTCTCTTTTATTTCCATATTTTTCACTAGTCCTTAAAATTGCATGTGAAGTGTCTAGGACAGAAATGTTAACTCCATTTTACCTACAAAGAAACTATGACTGTGAAGAGGATATAACTTAGGTTGGTCATTCTGAATAACTGTCCTGTCTGCTCTGGTGGTAGTCTCTCCACTACACTGTCTTGCTGCATGAATACCATTAACCTGTACCTAGAAAGAATTATTGAGGGACAAAGTGGTAATGGTTCAGCTTCATATAATTATTCAGTGAGTACTTAATTGTATTTTTCAACATTAGTAAAAAAAAATTATGTATTTCTTTAACATTCTAGCTTGAAATTCAGAATCATCCTTTTTTTGAATCACTCAGCTGGACTGATCTTGTACAAAAGAGGATTCCACCACCATTTAATCCTAATGTGGTAAGTGTCTATCCAAATCTTATTTTCTAAACTAGTGAAATGTAGAACTATAGCTCATCATAATTTTAGCAATAGATCTCAAAATCTAATGTGAATGAAACTGAATCATCAGTACCAATATATGAAAATATGTCTTGGGGTTGTCTAGTGCACTGATCACTTCAAAATGACCAGTAAAATTATAGTTATATTACATTGGTAAAAGTATCTTTTAGCATAGTAATTATGAAGTGTTTCTTTGGAACATGTATAAGAAAGGGATGAGCTCATTAGATTAAAAAAAGATGCACATTAAATAAGTGAGGTGTCTCATGCCTATAAATCAACAAACATGTTAAGTAACATTAATGCACATTTTTTTCTAGATTGATACAAAACCAAGCACAGGCAAACATTAATGGTAATGTTTCACAACACTAAAACACTTTAAATAAAAGAAAAAAAAATTCACCTATGATCCCGCAACCCCAAATCAATCTTGATTTATATTATACTCCCTCCTAGTCCTTACCTGTTATTTTTACTGCTATAATAACACATCACAAAAATTGCCATTTTTTTTATTTGATAGTATAAGGATTGTCATGTTTTTATTTAACGTTACAAGGATTTTCTAAGTGCCTGCTCATTTTTACATATATTATTATTACCATTCACTTAACAAGAAAAGGCAATCGAGCATAAGAAAGCATAGATAGAATAGTGATTTTGAAATGAGGCACAGATTTGAATCCTTGAATCCTTTTTGGAAAATAAAATGTTCATGTTAGCTTGACTTGTTAAATCAATTGATGGAAACATTTTACCTAAAGATTTTTTTTTTTTAAGAGGAAAGCTTCATCAAAGATCTGTTTACAGTGTTAATGATGTTGAAAATTTGGGGAAATAAATACAGAACAATAGGGAAATTTTTAATAATCATCAGTAGGCCAATAATGATGTTACTAACTATTGATGGCTATATCTTTAGGCATATACTTTTATGCATTATAATACGTAATTTATTCCTTACGCTACCAAGTTACTACCGCTACGGTCCTTCTAATTATACATGTTTTATAAGTGAAGAAATGGAAAGTCAGAGATGCCACATAGCTGGATTAAAAAGTAGCAGAGCAAGGATTCAAATCTGTGCCTCATTTCAAAATCACTATCTATGCTTTCTTATGCTCGATTTCTTTTTCTTGTTAAGTGAATGGTAATAATAATAAATGTAAAAATGAGCAGGCACTTAGAAAATCCTTATAATGTTAAATAAAAACACGACAATCCTTATACTATCAAATAAAAAAACATGGCAATTTTTGTGATGTGTTATTATAGCAGTAAAAATAACAGGTAAGGACTAGGAGAGAGTATAATATAAACCAAGATTGATTTGGGGTTGCGGGATCATAGGTGAATTTTTTTTTTTCTTTTATTTAAAGTGTTTTGGTGTTGTGAAATTCATGGCATACTTTTTTAGTAAATCAGTGCAGAATAAGGAAATTGCTTCAGGGAAATATTACTTAGTCTATTCATTTTAAAGGTTTGTTTCAGTGCATAGCTTATGACTAGTAATATTTAATAAGTGTGACACTGCCCACCTGTTAACAATATTTGTAGATTGCCTTATTTCACATAGCTTATCCAGAAGTGACTCCATTAAGGACAGTTTCTGTCCCTAATTTCTACAGTTTGCAGTAAGAACCTAGGACCTTTAAGAATTATTTTATTTTTATTTTTACATTGAAAATCTTACTGAGTTTAGTTATCCTCAAATAAATATGTCATCAGGCACATTAAAGAGTTAGGTACTCCTAAGCAGTACTGGAAATGGAAACAATGTTGACTTCAGAGTCAGTACCTCCATTTGGATCCCCACTCTTTTTGACTAATAAAATTTTTTAAAGCAAGATCCACAACCAAGAAGCCACAGAAGAAATTGGTAAATTTGGCCACATTAAATTTAGAAATGTCTACATGGTAAGAAAGAAAAAAAAAAAAAAAAAAACACTGCAAATAACAAACTGGGGAAGGTTTCTTTAACACATAAAGCATTCTTACAAGTCAATGAGAAAAAAGACCAATGACCAGTAAAAACATGGACAAAAGACACAAAATATGCAGTACAGAAAAATAAATACAGATGGCTTTTAAATATATGGAAAGATGTTCAAACTCTAATAGGTTACCATTTTCCACTTAACGGATTAATAAAGATCAGAAAGTTAGAGTATGTTAATGTAGACGTTCTCATACTCTGTTCTCAGTACTTGCATCCTTTTATTTAACTCTGACAGCAATTCTATGAAATAGTACTACTATTTTCCATATATTACAGATGAGTTAACTTAGGCACAGAAAAGGCTAAATAACTTGCCCAGAGTTTCAAGTTAAAGAACTAGAATTTGAGCTCGGGCTCTTCAAAGACAGAACCTTCCCTCACTCTTACCATAAGCAATACAGTGTTATCCCTATCAGTACTAGCCATGAGCCATAAGGGCATTCTTAAAATATCTATAAAGTCAAGTAAAAGAACATTGGCCATCATTTACTGAATACCTTCTACCTGTCAGATTCTGGGAATTTTGTGGACTAACACATCAGATCCTCACAACAACCTTAACAGGTAGGTGGTAGTATTCTTACTTACAGGAGTGGAAACAGAGTAGGGTAATTTATATAGAAAATTAGAGCTAGCAAAAAAAAAAAAAAAAAAATTAGAGCCAGCAAATTTCATAGCCAGAATTCAAACCTTAGTCTTATTCCGAAGCCCATCCTTCTGGGGTTACATGTAAGAATTTGATGACATTTTATATATACACATAAGTACAACTTGTAGCATTCTTCTTCCTCTCTGGAGGAATTTCTCGTATTGAGGGATCTAGCACTCTGGGTTTCCCTTGTCTGTGCTCTGCTGTTTGTAGACCTACCAGGCTAACTGTATCCTTGGCTTAGAGTACCTGCCCTGGATCCTTGTCTGTTCACCTCGGTTAGACTTGGTGACATAGACATGCTAAGGATTCCCTCCCGTTTAGCAGAGCAGAGATAACCTAGAGATTCAGGAGTGAGTTCTAAGAGTGAGTCACTGGAATTTGTCTCTCAGTTTTTATCTGCAAATACGTCAGAAGGGGAGAGTGCGGTAGTTTGTACCAGATTTGTAAAGGAAGACGAAGAACCGCTTCCATCAAGAAGCTGCCATGCTTTACTTCCCGGGTTCCCAGCTTCTTTAGGCCTCTACAGCTAAGATGTCCTAGCCAAATGCCTAATGACCTCTGTAGCACAGTTTTATTTAACGCCCCTTTATTCTCCTCAAAAGGCTTCACCTATCCAGAGTATAGAAACTAGATAGGCAAGCATCTGATAGGAGCTCAAGTGAAAAGTGCCATCCTGAAAACCTACCTGGACTCCTTTTCTAAACTTAGAGGTGGTGCTGGGTAGAGAGAAAGAGGGGTCAGTTGCAGGGCCTGAGGTTCAAGTTACCATAGGTAAGGACTCTGTTATGCTAGCCTACCACCCTTGTCTCTCCCCCCTTCCAACAAGAACTTTGCTAGAAGGACAGAAAACCTCACCTAAATAGTAAACTCTGGAAAGGAAAAGCAGAAATGGTTTCAAAGAAATGGTGAAGAAGGAAGACCTCTAAACTTGCCAGGAATAAATATATAAATTCATGAAGTGGTTTTAATAAAAGACTAAATTAATTAGTGAAAAACGAGCTAAGGTGACTAATAATATGCTTTTGATGTTTTAGGCAGGACCAGGTGATATCGGGAACTTTGATGCAGCATTTACGGAAGAAACCGTTCCGTACTCTGTGTGTGTGTCTTCGGACTATTCTATAGTGAACGCCAGTGTGCTGGAGGCAGATGATGCATTCGTTGGTTTCTCTTACGCACCTCCTTCAGAAGATTTATTTTTGTGAACAGTTTGCCATCCAGAAACCACTGAGCAAATATAAGCCTACAGATGAGACTGAAACTCCTCTTTGTGTGAATATATTCAAATATGTTTAACTAGTGCCTCATTTTTACATGTAATGTTAAAAACTATGAAAAATGTATTTTCTGCTGTATGCAAGAAAATAGGGCATTTCAAAGAGCTAAGTTTTGAATTAAAATTTCTATTGTTTATTAAGCTTATTTTTAAACAGAGTTTTAAAAGCTATTCTCAGCATTAACCTATTTTTAAAGAAAACATTTTGCTAATGACTGTTTTTCTCCCATGAGTTTACACTAACATCTACCCAAGACAGACTGTTTTTCAGCAGCCTATTTCAGTTTGGTTAACATGACATTAATGCCTTTGTAACTCTCTACTTTGACCTTTGTTCTCAGATCAGAACTATGCAATTGGTATGTGGTTGTTTAAGAAGAAACCACATCTTTCCATGATAAGTCATTCTTTGACATAATCAGTTCTTGGTAGGATTAAAATGTGAAAGCATAGTTAACACATGGGCTGTGAGTTAACACTTTGAATAAGTGTTCATTCTGCAGATCAAATTAAGAAATAACAAAAGGAGACCCATTGCTTTTGAAATACCAATTCAAATTTGTGAATTATTTTTCTCTGGAAGAAAAGTAAAGGCTTAATAGTTAGAAAGTTTAAAATATTTCCAAAGATCTGAAGGGTAATAAAATACTACTGGACTTTTTTTTTTTTAGGTGGTGCCAAAAATGAATGTGTCTGTGTCATGTATTTATATTACAAATACATTCTATTTATGTTCTTTCTGGTCTTTATGTTGTTAAGTAGGCCTAAATCTTGGTATTTGCTTTTGCAAAAAGCTGTTCAAAACTGTCTTTCTACTTGGTTAATAAGTGAAAAATATTGAGCCTTCTAGAGTTTTTACCTAATTGGGAATATAAAAAATAGAATAGCAAATTCTTGGTCAGTATATGTATTTCACTACAGTGTTACAAAAGTTAAAAATGATTCAGGCCGATGCAATGTCAGTATCTTTTTTGTCCTAGAAAAAGCACAGGAAACTGACCTTAAAATCATACTAAAAACAAACTGTGTACTTGTCATTATAAAAGAGAATACAGAAAAACTAAGAAAGAATGCTTGTCTTGGAATTCTGCTTCTTAGAGAAGAAATTTTTCAGGTCATGTAGGAAACATCGTGAAAGTTTAGGGACCAACTTTATATGCTTCAGGAACAAGCATTCTTCCCATGTGTTTTCTCTTGAGAAAGAAATCACAAAAGCATTTCACACCAAGACCCTTTGGCTTAAAAATGTTCAGCAAAATGGGGGAGGGGGGTGTGCTTTTGTTAGATTAATAATGTTTGCATCCGATACACTGAATCTTCCTTTAGAGGTAAGACTTTAATAGCAACACTGTAAATATTTGGTTTATTTGGCACTACTGTAAGTTCCGCTTTTACACAAAGTTCTTTGCTTATTATAAAGCAAAATAAAAACTGTAGTCTCTTGTATGATTTTCTTTTTTACTCAGCCACTCCTTAATTAAACTGCCAAAAATTAAAGTGCAATATTGTATATTTTTAAGAACAAATTCAAATGTGCTGATGTTTATTGGATCACAAGAAATACAAATCTTATAGTATAATAAAACTAGCAAAAAGATTAATAAGCATCTAATCCCTGTCATCATTTTAAATTGGTGATGGTTTATAAAAGTCATTACAAAAATGATTTGTATATGTGAGGGATAAAAGTATAAAACTTTACCTGTATTTGGACACACATAAAAATTAGATTATCTAGATTATCAGAGGCTGACATATTTAATATTCAGGGAATAAACATCTTCCTAGTTTCCAGTTTATTTTTTCTCTCATAGCATGCTGTCTTTTAGAAAAAAATGTGTGCCCTTTGAGTAGTTGAACCATTTCATGGCTATTGCCAAAATAAATTCAAGGGTCTGAGTGAAGAATCCCTAACATTCTTCATGTTATCCATACCTCTTATTTTATTGCATATGGTACAGTGAAGAGCTTCCCAGCCATTGTTACAGCATAGTACACGCTGAAATTGACAAGTTTTGGGCATACCTGGGGGGAGGTGCTGAATGATGTAGATGGAGACTGGAAGCAGGTTCTCCGTTCAAAAAAAAATTTTTTTTTTTTAAAGATTTTATTTATTTATTTGACAGAGACAGAGACAGCGAGAGCAGGAACACAAGCAGGGGGAGTGGGAGAGGGAGAAGCAGGCTTCCTGCCGAGCAGGGAGCCCGATGTGGGGCTCGATCCCAGGACCCTGGGATCATGACCTGAGCCGAAGGCAGCCGCTTAACGACTGAGCCACCCAGGCGCCCCCTCCGTTCAAAATTTTTATATGCCAAAATAATTTTTGAACTTAAGATTTTTACAGAGCCAACAAACGCTGTTTGGATATAATTTTAGCAATGGAACATTTAAAAGGTGGCTTAAATATTTCAAATATTTATTACTGTAAAATTTGATCACTATAAAAACTTACCGTTACCAGTGTCTTTTAGCATACCTTTAACTAGTAATTATCCACAGGCATAATATTAAAAAACTTTACACAGATGTTACTGTATGAAGAGTGGGAGTGAGTATTAACAGGAAAGTTTGTGGTGATATTATATTAGAATGACTTTTTCAATAAACTGTTGAAATTGATAATTCTTCATATATGTAGTTTGGAAGTTAAGTCTGTTTTAAAAGTGGAATTTTCTGCCACTTGCCTTTAAGGTTGGTTTTTACTTTTATTGATTTTTACAGATTATTCCATATCCCAAGGTGATTGTTCTTTTATTATAAAATCCTAAAAGTACATAGATGAGTGTCAGGCATCTTGAGTACCTTGAAATAATATGCCAAGTTTTGTGTATGAATGAAATCGAGTTGGGGCAGGGAGTGCTACATGGCTTTGTTCAGATGCCCAAAAGGATTCACTGCTGTAAGAATACTGAGTTTCCTCTCTGCCATTTTAGTTCTTTACTCACCTACTATTAAGAGTAATTGCTCTCTAACTTCCCTGAAAGCATTCCAGTTGGGACTTTTTACGTCTTTAGCATTTTTGGTGTCTTACCAATATTGCATAATCATTCATTTGTAATCCTTTTTTTTTTTTTTAAAGATTTTATTTATTTATTTGACACAGAGAGAGAGAGAGCACAAGCAGGGGGAGCAGCAGGCAGAGGGAGAGGGAGAAGCAGGCTCTCTGCTGAGCAAGGAGCCCGATGCGGGACTCCATCCCAGGACCTTGGGATCATGACCTGAGCCGAAGGCAGTCAGTCGTTTAACCAACTGAGCCACCCAGGCGTCCCTCATTTGTAATCCTTTAAACACATTCCTTAATAGTTAAAAGGACCCCTATGCAAAAATAGTTCTTATTTTACTATTCCCTTATATTATGTCCATTTTTGCAGAGGTAAATAAATCAGCAAGAAACATAGCTATTTCAAAGTGTAACTTTTCAATAATTTACCCAAAGTCAAGATAGTAGAGAATAATTTAAAGCAATATTACACACACAAAAAAGCCTACAGAGAAGTATAAATTCAGAGTGATTTATAGCAGTGAAGTAGCCAAAGGATCCTACAAACAAAAATTATTTTTACATGTTGTACTGAAAATTATGAACACCGTATCTTTAACAGCATAAAACAAAAAAATTACATCATTCTATATAACCCTTCTTACTGGAAGAGCCAGACATGTTTGGTGATTTTACAAATCTTGTGTTCAAATGTGACTTGGAAGTTTTTACTGAAAATTCTCTTTTGCAGGAATATTATCTCATAGATTTATCCTCTTCCTTCTAACATATTTTCAGTGTTTTCATGTTATTACGGAGCAGAGATTTACACTCAATTTTAGTTGAGTTTCTGTGGGAAAGTCTAGAATGAGTTATCAATATTTAAGTGTTTTTATGTTTTATTAGGTAAGAATCCAGAAGGCTTATGTGCAATAAAACAGACTTACCCAAATAGTCTAATTTATCTCAGTGTGTTGGACTTTTTCAGTTCTTTCCAGATAGTAGTTAATACAGCCTTGCTGTTTTGAATTTTTCTCTCATGCCTCAATAATAATAATATAGAAATTATAGCCTACTTTGTTAATGATACATTGATGTTGAACATTAACACTTATTTACTTTAGAAAGATAACCCTAGCTATATGCCTCAAATAGATATCAAAAGCAAAGCTTTGGGGGCGCCTGGATGGCTCAGTTGGTTAAGTGTCTGACTTGATTTTGGCTAAGGTTGTGATCTTGGGATTGTGGGATCAAGCCCCACATCAGGCTCCACACTCAGCAGGGAGTCTGCTTGAGATTCTCTCCCTCTCCCTCTGCCCCTCCACCCACTTGGGCACTCACTCTCCTATCCCCCAATAAATAAATCTTTAAAAAAAAAAAAAAAAAAGCTTTGTATTTGTCAGAATTCATATGACTTTAACACTTAGGAGCTGGGCATTTATTTGGCTCTATATAAATTATACCTCAGTGAAAAATATTGAAAGACAAAGTCAGCTATATATAACAAAAAATAAAATTTAGATAACCCATAATACTACCATCTTAAAGTATTTGAGACATTTTACCACATTACATATGAAAGAATCCAGGAATTTGGAGCCAAAGAAAAATTAAAGGTGAAGAGGTGAAAACAGCCCAACCTGAGCCATGTAAGTGCATGACAGGGACTTCCTTTTTTCCAGTTCCACCTGTAAGGAGCTTGGAAGTTACCAAGTAAAAAGCTGAACAGACTGAATCATCAACTACTCTTCTTGGATACAGAAGAAAAGGGAGGACACAGGGCAAACTGCTACCCCCAACACTGGAGAGGCAGGCGAATATAAGAAATTGCAACTTACTAGAGCAGAGACTCAACAACTGCGGGAGCCGGTGCAGGAGTTGGAAACGGTACTAGATTAGCAAGTTGCCAGAGGCTAAGTGAAGACAGTTGAGAGTGAAAAAGTCCAGGGAGAGCAGTCATAGGGATCCCCACAATTTTGTGAAATTGACCTCCCAGAGCTCAAGGAGCTTCTCACAAATACTGGAGAAAAACTCTCTTGCGATTCCAGCAGAAGGAGGGGAAAAGGGACACATTTCAAATATGCCAGGGCATTCTGGTCTTAACATTCTGGTATTCTCCTGCCTTTAGGAGAAACTAGTTAATCAGAACCTGACCTGCAGGGGTTTTCTCAGAGCCTAATATGCAGGAAGGAAAGTACCAAACTCTAGTCAGTTCAAGTCTCTCAGTTTTTATCTGTGGGAGAAGGGAAATACCCAACTTCAGTCCACTCTAGCCACCCTATCCCACCTAATGGGAGAGAAAAAACTAAGAAACACACTAAGTTTGTCCAGAGGCATAGGATCACTAAAATAAAGACCTGATCATAGAATTATAGAACCCTTCCCTCTCATCATACCATATCACCACATTTTAAAAGATCTATTTATAGCACTTCCTTTTACCCACTACATCATGTCTGGCCACCAAGTAAAACTACAAGGCGCACTAAAAGGCAAAAACAAAAAACAAAAGCCCACACAATTTGAAGAGAAAGAGCATCAGAATGCAGGGATGTTGGAATTATCAGACCAGGAGTTTAAAACAACTATGATTAATATGTCAAGGTCCCTAGGGGCACCTGGGTGGCTCAGTTGTTAAGTGTCTGCCTTCAGCTCAGGTCATGATACCAGGGTCCTGGATCAAGCCTCTCATTGGGCTCCCTGCTCAGCAGGAAGTCTGCTTCTCCCTCTTCCTCTGCCCTCCTCCCTCCCCCTGCTCATGCTCTCTCTCTCTCTCAAATAAAATCTCTAAAAATATACATATATGTTAAGGTCCCTAATAGATAAAGCAAGAACAGATGGTCTATGTTGTAAGCAGAGAGAAAGAAATCCTAAGAAAGAAACAGAAAGAAATGCTGGAGATGTAAACAACAAATGAAGAATGCCTTTGATGGGCTTATTAGTATACTGGACATGGCTGAGGAAAGAATCTCTGAGTTTGAGGATATTTCAGTGAAAACCTCCAAAGCTGAAAAACAAAGAGAACAAAGACTAAAGAAAACAGAACCATATCCAAGGACAGTGGGACAACTGCAAATGGTGTAATACACGTGTAATAGAAATACCAGAAGAAGAAGAGAGAAAGAAACAGAAGAAATATTTGAAGTAATAATGACATAATTTTCCCTAAATTAATGTCAGACACCAAACCACAGATGGAGGAAACTCAGGAACACCAAGCAGGATAAATGCCAAAAAATTATACCTAGGCATATCATTTTCAAACTTCAGAAAATCAAAGATAATGAAAAAGTCCTGAAAGAAGCCAGAGGAAAAACACCACCTTACCTATAGAGGAAAAAAGAAAAGAATTAGACCCAACTAGTCCTCAGAAATCATGCAAACAAGAAGAGTGGAGTGAAATAAATAAAATGCTGAGAGGGACATTTGGGTGGCTCAGTCAATTGAGCTTCAGAT